TGGAATACAAAGAAAGCAGAATCCCATAGCATTAAATTTATTCTGTAACAGGAGGAAACCAGTGTAAATTGGCAAAAAGGCCAACTACTGAAATATATAGAAAAAAGCAAACCCTTCAAGACAATGCTACCTGATTGGCTGTTTTCACTTACACTAACTAGTCCTGCACCAATGTAGATATTTGCCAGCAGTGAAACTTGCTGAGCTTGTTGGCGCGGATTAGCAGAATCAAGTTTTACTGTGGAAAATGAAAGATCAATATTTGGGCCAAATTTAATAGTGAAATTTCAACATGTCCCAGGCTGGTATTTTGAGACCTCTAAGTGATATGAGCCAACAAAATCCTTCATCCTCTCCTACGGAAAATGGTTGAACATCCAATGTAATCATCTCCATTATTTTGGTAGTTGTATTTATAGCTCTGTTGCTGCTAACTTTGTTTGTAACAACATTTGTTTGTACCGTGGTATTTGCCGTCGCTGTGGACAAAAGGATCTGCTAAATGAAAGGTATATGTAGCACCATATTGTGATATTCACTAATCAGGGTGAAAATCAGCCATTTCTGGTCACTAGCTGATCCATCAGTGCATGTTTAATAAAACAATGGTTGAATAAATATTATTTTACATCCCTCCTGGTATTAAGCTTCGTTATGGATAAAACTCGGCTTATTTAGTGTTTCCCGATTATTGCGAACCACAGGTTGCCCAGCACTGTAAAGTATAACTGGATTACAAGTGCGTTACATTAGTAAATCATTTTGGTATTTAATCACCGACCATATGTCTTCATCTTCAGCCTGATGCACTGTTGCTTTCTAAAGGCATACCTTCACTTGGCCTGCCTGCGCTGTACCGTGCCTGAGCACGATTGTCCCCACTCCCCCTCTGGTCTGCGCTCACATTGCGCTTTACGTTCCAGGCTGTAGCGTGCTTTCGTCATCACCGTGCGACTTTTTGTGTTGAAGACATAAGAAGAAAAGCACCTTCACACAGCACAATGGAGTTCTTAATGTTCTTATTTCATGGCTTATTTGGAGTCATTTTGGACACAATGACACACGGCCCTCATTGATTTATTGCGTATGCGCCACTGATTTTCATTTAGTCATGCTGCACATGTACGAAGATCCCATATTTTACCAAATATCTCAGAGTTTTTGTGTGTTGCACCCAGTTTTTCCTGCATACTCTCCTCAGCCCAAATTTCTAGCAAACGCGGCACCTCTGCTGTAAAGTGATCCCTTTGTTGCAATGTTTAAATGTTTGTCGCCGCTCGATCTGTATAGCCTACCCAGTCTGTTCCTTCCGGGTCCGGTTCATGTATTGTGTATATATGAGCACGTGTACCAGTCACATCATTGACGTCACGTCTGTCTTTCGTGCTCGGGCACGATTCGTGATCACACTGGAGTCCAACTGAACCCTGTCTGGACCCACTTCTTCAACGGGCCCAGGCATAGTATAGTGTACTATGGAGCGATCACATTAGTCAAACGAACTAGAGTTTGGGGGTCAGACTTGCTCTGGCACGGTACGGATCGCCTGGTGTGAGTACACGCTAGCCTACATGGGCCCGAACTGTTAAGCGCAATGTGACCACAGACCAGTGAGAGTGTGGGCAAAGGGGACAGTCATTATTGGGCATGGTAGAAGGCAACTGGGCCAAGTGTGACTACGCCCTCAGTGACTTGTAGCAATTTCTTTGCTCTTGTGGTTTCTGTTAAGTAGAGTGTTAGTTAGAATTAGAGATTATAATCACACACTGATTTACTGCTCTGATTCACCTAGCTGGCACTACATGTGTGGTTACAGAAAATTAACACCCTTAAGATCTGAGAATTCAGCAGTGCAGTCATATTTTTTTTACTCACTCCCTCCCCTTAATATTTGAAGCTGATTGATGGTTTGCTTTATTTTTCACAGTGGTTATTTGACAGTTTGTGAACCCTAACCGTACTAACTAGAGATGCGCAATGTATTGTTTAACATCGATTTTGGCTGATGTCCGTTAATAATCAAGAATTAGCAGCACCAAAGCTAAAGACATAATGCTTAAAATAATGGAGGTGACTGCATTGGACTATCGGCCCTTTTCCATAAAAGAGAATGAGGGACTTTGTCAGCTCATTCACTACTTAAAATAGATGTCAAAGTACCAGCTTAATTCATTATTAAATCTGCCCCTCAGATCGTTATACTGCTTCCCACAGACTAAAAACGATGTGACATCATTCCACTAATCTGTGTCGGCAGACTCGGCAAGTTTCACCATCAGCACTTCCACGCCCTGCTTGCCTCTCCTGGTCGACAACTACACCATCAAAGGGAGCCCTCCAGTAACTTACCTAGCCTGGGGGCTATTGGTGTCTATCAGCGATATTACACAGAAATATATCCGTTATCAGCATTGGCCAAATTTTCCACATCAGCACACAAGTAGTACTAATATACCTGTATTTGAAGCTGCATTTCCCCTCCCCTGTGCTCTGACATGAACTCTGATTCAGGTATGAGATCCACTTTCCCCTCCTGCTCTCAGAAAATGTACATATTCTGGGAAAACAAGCTTGTGTTTGCCGAGCAGGTTTTTCTTGGTCATGCTTCTGGGGAAGGGAAATAAAGGCATCTCTCTTTACTCTTCCTCATTTGGCACCTTGGCGCTGCCGCCCATCAACATTACTGCTGACTGATAACTTTCAATCATGTGATACTTCCCACAGGTGTGGCACTCCCGCTAACATACACTACCAGGCAGAAAGATTTTGCGCACCACAGGTTTTTACCGCTTTTCAGTTTATTTCATAAACGGCAGATTTTCTTTCTATTCGTAAGCATTGGAAAGTTGCGTGAACAACTATAAATGGAAAATGTCAAATAAAACAAGTTTCCTTTATAACATTGAAGGAGTATGTAACAGTGTACATCTGACATCTTATTAACTGGTTATGTGGTGATGGCATAGTCTATTTCTAGGCTGTCCTTTTAACTTTAAATGCACCAGTTAACTGTTTCATCCTATGAAACAGCAGTATTTAGTGTTCCTTGTAGAAAGAATGCCTTGTTTTTTTCTCTGCTTTTATAACTGCTAGAAGAGGTTACATTGAAACAAAGATATGACATTTTCTTGCTAATAAAGGTGCTCAAATGGTGAACATACTGTAAATTTCTTTGTTAGCAAAGAATATTGAATGTATTTTTAGCAATTGTTAAGTGGGTATCATGCAAATGTAAAAAAAAAATGCAAACTCACAGAGATCCAGATGTAAAATGCAAAAACTTTTTTGACTGATAGTGCATGCCTAATGTAACCTGATTCTGAAGCCAAAACTCCTGGACACAGTTGATTTCTAATTTCAGCTGAAAAAAAGTAATTGAAATTGGTGGTGTAGAACTATATTTCCATTTATCTAATTTTCACACAAATGGGCATGTGGCTGTAGTATTTAGTGAGTGTTCAGAGTGCCCCAGCCCCCGTTGCCAGGGCTCAGTTATGTCTGCACGCTCAATTCAGCTGTGTCCTTCCACAGTGTGTTCACAAATCCTCCTACTCCCAGTCTTTATCTGCTTCTCATCCTTATTTAACCACCCTTTCTATTTGTTCATTTTTCACGTGGCCCATGTCTTTACTCTGAGGGTTTTTTCTAATCAGAGAATAATATGAAACGATTGTGCTTTGGTGGTAAAGTGCAGCTCATGGTGAAGATATACCATTGCCATCAATGGGTAAAAATAGATGTGTATGCATTTCACTTTTATTTTTCAGGTAGCTGATTTTAGGAATTTTATATTACAAAAGTTTTGGTTATGTCTGCTGATTTGTGCTGCCCTCTAGTTTTAACTCCTGGAAATTTTGCCCAAAAATATGGAAGAAGAAAGTTTTATGTTATGCTTTGGATATAATTCTACTTGTCTCTGTCCCCTTACTGAAAATGTGTATAGCTGTGTACTGTAGGATCCTCTCCAAAGCTTTGAAAATCCCATCTTTTTGTGGAACCTTCATTCAGATCTTCTAAATGTATTTTTTTACATAGTTAAATATTCTGCCTTGCTTTATAATGACAGTCAGTATGTTCATTCCATATCCCTAATCCCACATTTTGTTTCTGGAGTTCTGGATTTTCTAAAATTCTCCAGAGCGATGGAAAAGGTGTTCTGAAATAGTTATTTTGGCACACAAATGAAACCTTTTTCGTTTTAATGTATTCCAGTGAGCCTCTTGCGTGGATTGACATATTGACTCCCATGTAAAATTATCCCTCTGACTAGTTTCCTTTGAACATTACTGTGTTGTACAGTAATGGGGAAATAATTCCTCGTGACTGTATCTATTGTGGAGGCGTTAAACCTCGGCACTGTTTGACCTTTGTAGATTCCACCTCCTGACCTGGGAAACTGCTCTGATTGGCTGCGGGGGTTAGTGCTTTGTTTGAAAACTGCTTGTGGATAGGAGATCCAAGCCACAACTTTTATCTGCCTCTAAATGTTCTTTTCCATGTATTCTTATAATCCCCTTTTATCTGCAGTTACTGAATGTTTATTATTTGACTGATAGTTTTGACGAACTTCCGTTTGATTTATACGGTTCTATATTTCCTGACCTTATTAATGCTAACAATCGACTATTTGAACTCGAAGATGATTAGGGCCCCTTTCCGTGTATACCGTGAGGTAATTGCCTAAATATAGATAACTTCCTAGTTGCACTAATCATGAGTGATCCTCGAGTCACACTCACTCATATACCAATGGAACGCTCTGTTCCAACTAGTTATTGCCAGTCGCAGTAGACTAGCAAAGAATAATCTTTCTTGAACTCTGTAAATATAAATTACGTGAAGTAAGGTAACTGGAAGATTTGATGCTGGATACCAGCGGTAGTGATTCATGGCCGTTTCACGCTCCTGGCGTGTCACTGGCACTCGCGCTCCGGCGCGCGGCCGGGCGTGACTCCCCGCCTCCCCCGCAGCCCTGTTGCGCGGGTGACGTCACGATACTGGGCCGCTCCGCTGAAACTACAGGAATGTGAGAACGCCGATCGCCGACCGAACTGCTGCACTGGAACCTTTCGCACCAGCCGAACTTTATATTCCGGCACGCCGGGAGGAGTCGTCGGTACGGTCCCTGGAATATGTTGGACGATTTAATTAACGACAGAAATGTTTCAGTCCTTTCGTGGTTAATTGAAGAATCGGTTTCTTTTAAAGACAAGGCCGTATGGGACTTATTTCTCTGTTGTAGTATTAAAATGAAGCAGGATTTATTGCCAATCTAACCAAGATTGAGGTAAGTGGTGATTTAAGTGACGATCATCATCATACATACGTACTTGCTGGTGTACCTACATTCCCTAATGTCGTTGCTTCACTAACTAAACCCAGAACTTAGTTCGTTTACTTTTTAGAGTCAGACACTAAAATAATGTAATGTCCCAACATTTACTTGTTTTTTGTAATGCATCATCCGTTCTTATCTTCCTGTTGATTTATTTGAAACTATTTACGAAGTACTGTTTTTTTTTTCTCCACAACGTCATTTAGTAAAACATATGGCTTTCATTCTGTCCTCGTTTTTCTTCATTTCACGTTTATTTAAATATACTCTTTATCTGTGGTTTAAGCATGACTAGTAATTTTGTTCTGACCAAGGGGAGGCATCCCTGCCTCCAGTTTATGATTCTAAAGCTCCTTTAAAGCTGTCTGATGGGTTACACATATGTGTGAACCACTTTGCATTGTAGTATTTTTAATTTCAGGCTTTAAAAAAAAAAAAAAAATCCGGTTTAATAGACATACAGATGCATTAAAGGCCAAATCACAGACAGCCAAGAGTTGCCTCTTGATGGTATGTTAATGTTGACTAGATATATAGACATGTTGTCATGTCAAGCGCTGCCTCCAGTGATACCCCCTTGCAACCAATGGATAATTTCCATACTAATGAAATCTCTTTATGAAAGTGCCTGTCATCTGCAGCTGTGCAAGACTGTCTTTTCATTTGTTTATATATTGCACCACGTCTCCATACCTGCGAGGCTGCACTAAGGGACACTGGAACTTAATCAGTTACTATAATTGCTTTCAGGTCTCTTGACCATCTGTGGATCTGAGGGCTACCAGGGGCTGCCTTCATAAACAGTTTGTGACTAAGTAAATAACAGACTACTGCGATAAGGAGTGCTGGTTTTACTTGCAGCCTCTCATTGGTCCCTGGTCCCACAGTTTGCTCTGTATTTAACATGTCTCAATACATTACAGTTGTGTATACAGTGCAATATTTGGTCAAGAAATAAGCTTATCAAAGCTCAAGATAGATGAAAATGTCTGTGGCATTTAGGTGTTAATAGGATTGAGGAGGAACAGTGATAGAGCAGATTTCTGTATACATTTTTGAGTGCTGGAGTTTTCATTGGGCTAAGACACAGATGCAAGAGATCCAGACGTAAAACACTCATTATTCTGACTGTTAGTTATGCATTCACAACCCTCATCTGGATAAGTGGATTTGAAGATGAATAACTGAGTTGGCTCGGTGTGTAGTCACATTAAACTTTGTAGCTACAGGCTGTATGGACAATATCATTCTGCAGTAAAATGATGGGGCGAATATTACTTTGTCTTCCATGACACAATGATAAATACTCTTCTGGAGACAAACTGGCTTTCCTCTAATATTTGCCTGTATTTCATATGATGCTCCATAGCATTCTCACAGTCGCCATACTGTGTTTTCTAGGTGATGTGCTTTGTTCGGTCTTGCCAAACATAATTTTTGTTTCATCTAACCCAGCCATTTTTCACTGGATCACAAATTTTTTGTTGCAAATAGGGGTTCACTGATCCCACTTTTTCATGGCCGGTACTTGAACAGAGGGTATCTGCCAGTATGAGTACTGATTCAATATGAGTACTGATTCGATGTCAGAGCCCTTTAAACTAGTGAATACAAATGGGAAAATGTAACCTAATTAAAGATGCATAATGTACTGTTCCACCTCATTTGTACATCTTGTTTTAAGCATTTTTTTGAAGCGTTTGCAGTTCAATTTCAATATCTTCCTAATGAGTATACATTAGTGGTGAATGCTTAAAATGTCCCACAATTTTTCTTCCACTGGTACAGCGTTACACTTCCTTGCGATGGCAACCCGTCCTGTATCACAAGCTGTAGTGAGTGCGGAAAACAGCCCAACCAAGCGAATCCGAAATCATCCACTGCTTTTTTTCATATCACTCGCGTTGTTTTGCACAATCGTGCACTTTTTGTGGGATCTTCTACTAAACGCTCCTTCCACCTCTCAAAGTGTTTTTCTAGATTGTTTTTACCAAGTTTGTTGGGACAGTCTCAGCCGGTCTCTGTTATGTGATTCTTCTTCCATTTCTTCATGATTGATTGCCCTGAATTTACATGGTGTTCAGGGACTTATGCTTTTGGACTTTTCTAATCTGGTTATTAACCAAAAGACAGAAGGTCAAGTTTTCATGTTGTCTTCATATTTCAGTACCCGTGGGACCCGTGTTTCCCTTTAAATCTGTGATCATTTATTATGAACCGCTATTGCACACTGGCAAAAGCCACTCAAATAATTTGGTGGCTTTGTAAGGCAAAGTGAATTAAAATTTCACATGGGGGGGAAAAACAAAACAATTTTATCCAGTAAAACATGATTTTCATCAAGGCCCAGAATATTTTTGCAAGACACCATAAAACACTTAACGGCTATTTTGTCAAAAAGAACAAACAAGTGAAGTGTTTTAAGCAATTGCCAACATCAGCAGCTTTTGTGCTGAAGCACATGCTGTGTTACCCACTGACTTAGTGTGGTCATTCGGTGTCAGTTTGGCACGTCGATTTGCTGGTCGTGTTTAAGTTTGGAGGTTTGTTGTTTGATTCTGCAGATGAAAGTTAAGCAGAAGGTTATTCATCCGTTTTCTAGCTTCTTAACATGCTCAGAGTTGTGGGGGGGCCTCGGCCTCCCAGTGCGTTGCACCACTCACATGTGCTCTATGGGCAATTTACTGACGTCATTTAGCCCAACTGTATGGATTGTGGGTGGAAGCCCTGCAACACGGAGCATTCAAACTTAGCAGTGTACCAATGTGGAAATCTTGGCTGTTACTAATAACATGTATTTTTGTCTGATATTACTGATACCCTGGTCCAGATTACACCAGCACTGGAGAGATGGAGTCATTGGTAAGACCAAAATCATCAGCTTTGTTATACTGAAATCGGCTACGTTGTTGGAAACATCTAACTTGTTTGAGATGAACATTCGAGTTTGTGTATGACCGGAGCAAGGCAGAAACAGCCTCTGTTAGTTAGTCTCCCAGTGCCAGGCGTGTTTGCCAGGAAATTCTGACCAGTCTAAAAAGCAATTAGTTATTGGGGTGTTTATCGCTACTTTGCTACGGAATATAGAATGGGATTCATTATTATTGTAAAAAGAAATATGTACAAAATGTAAAACAATTTGTAAATAAGCATCTTGCATTTTAAGAATGCAAGATGCTTATTAAGAAACATTACTTTTGGTTTACAATTGTTCCTTATTGTGCTTGTGTTAGAATTTGTTTTGAAATTAATTATTGTTTTCCTTGCTGTACTGAAATTGCACCGAAATCTGAACTCAAAACTGTGAGTGTGTGTGTGTGTGTGTTTAAACCACAACTGTACAATTTCTGGAGACCTGGTTCCTGGTTATAAAAACTATTGGATAGTGTTTGGACCCAATTGTGTGTTGTTGAGTAAAAATGTGCTGCATGATTTGAATTTCATTCAGCCTAAGGATTCAAGGAGTAAAGTGTGTTTTTTTTGGGATTAAAGTAAACATGGAGCTGCTTTCTGGATAAGATCAAGCAGCACATGCAGGGAAAAAGAAAGCCAGCAAGTAACTATACTCCATTTGACTGATTTTGCTTCGGATGATCCTAAGGACACCTGTGTTTGGATTTCTGTTGCGTGTTTTTACAAGAGATGCTGATTGTTGATGGATGTTGATGATTCCTGTCAGTTTCTTAGGTAGAAATTGTTCCTGTAACTTTCAAATGGGCAACACAGGAAAAACTATATGCAGCAATGAGAGGCAGAGGTCTGGCAAAATGAAACTGAATTCTGTGCAGTGGGTACAAATTGTTGGGGAGACTGATGTGAAGGTGCCTCAACAACAGCACCTTGGATATTTACTTCAGTCAGGGAGCACAGGAGGATTCAGTAGTTGCTTATGTCAAAGTTGGTGAAACATCTGCCAGGTCCAAGACAAAGCTAAGTGAAGCCTCTAGCTCAGACATCACAATGTTTATTTAATTGTAGTATCTAGTCCATCTGTGATCAGTTAGTGCACAATTTATTTATCCCTAATTTTAAGTAATTCTAATTTTAACTTTTTTTTTTGAAAGCCAGATAATAGGGATCTAGGTATATGAAGTTGTGCAAAATTGCGTCTATTTGTACAATCGATTAGTTTCTTTTCTAGTGGCAAGTTGCGATCCTTTTATTTTCAGCTGCACAGTTAAATCTGTGATTTTTATATGGCATGTATATCCTTCTGGTAGCTGTCTCAATAATCGCAATCAACTTCCGTACTCTGGAGTTTTCTGTTGTTTTTGTATTACAATGCCTGGTTGCCCTCAGGATTTCAGCACTCCTGCTATTGGCCTCTTGTTTTACCATGACTCATCCTTCATGCAGTTATTATAGTTACGCCTGTCTTACTTAAAAGTACTGTGTAACAGTTTATTAATGGAGCATTAAATATATCAAACAGGTAACATCTGTGGCATTGTTCTGTACCTGGTACCGTTTTTATGTGACTTCTGTCTAAAGAGAAGCTACCTCAACCCATCTGTGAGAAGTAGTGCAATAAAATAACTTCTCACAAGGCGATTTGCAGCAGAGACTAGGAGGAAATTGGGTGTTTAGGGTACTTTGCGAGGAGTTTGTGGAAGCATGCAACATAAATATTTGAATGTCAAGAGTAGCTTTGAACCTGGGTCAGCCATGCGGTGACCTTGTGATCTCTTGGGTGCCCTACTAGAGGAGCACAATCGCACAGCCTCGCCTGCACACTGTAGAACAGCTGTTGCTCATTGTCTATGCCAAAAATGTGCTGAGCTTCACATGGTTGGGCTGCTTTTGCAGTCCTTTCTATGATTGATTTTTCGATATTCAGTTTTAAAACAAAGCTATTTCAGAGACATGAAAAACATCTTGTATCATTGACTCTAAAGACACTGGGAAGTCTCTGGTGTGTACCTTGTTTTTGGGCACTGCCTTTAATTGCAGTTTGGTTTCTTTTGTAGTTAGGCCTTAATTGAACATTCTTATTTATTTTTATTATGTTTCTGCTATGTTGATGTGCCAGCACTTTTTGTGGTAAATATTTGGATGGTAAGTCAGTTTCTGCCTTGGGCTGTTATGGCTGCTCTGGGGTGGGCCTCATAAACTGAGTGGGAATTGTAGCTTATAGGGTAGTTTGATCATTTTTTTTTTCCAAAACTGGGTGTATTTGCACAGTTTGCTTTGATCTTCCTCCACTATTCATTTATCTCTGTGGTATGCTGCTGTTTATTATTTTTAATAACCTTTCTGTTTAATGTGTAATGTTGAACTGTTTTCCTCCACAAAAGAGCTCCGTGCACAAATACTTTATGATCCTCCAAATTTTGAGTACTACCTGTTTAGTTTGAAATGGCGTTCTGAAGAAAGGTCTTTTCCACTGTTACAGCCTTCTGTTGTGGAAGGTTTGTCTCGGGTGTGGCAAGCCCTGTGTTTTTGTTGGAGTGCCTTGTAATACATAGGCAGACTGGTCACATTAGGGATTGCGGGGTGATTCTTTAATGTGATGTCCTCTTAGAAATTCCATGGAAATTGTCATTGATCAGCAAACATGATTTATTAATTTTTTTTGCTGTGATTTAGTTTTTCACACTAGCATCCATCAGTGCTGTGGTTTTGCCAAAGTACTCGCAGGAATGATAAGACTTTTTACACGGAAGTGAGGACCGAAGGAATCATGAATCTCCTCGTTACTGAAATTGTTTTTTAATATAAGCCTTGTATAGTTTATAGCCTTTTCTCATGGATGTGTGAAGCTTTAACCCCATTAGTGTCATGGGGCCGGCCTTCTGCAACGAGATCTAGCGACAAAAATGGATTAAAAAAAACATGGTGGGAGCTGCACCACTGAAGGTACCATCAAGTGCTAAAGGCAGGTGGCTGAATGTATTTCGGATTTAAGAAATATGAGGACAGTGAAGAGCTGGACAAAAGCAAAGCAGTATGTAAAGATGTGCATGATGCAGAATGGAGGTGAAAAGCTTTGGAAATACCACAGGACATACCAACCTGAAAGCACACATTAGGTTGAATAGTATTGTGGTGTAGGCCAGGGTCTGTTGGTGATTCACCTTCAAGGGTCCTATTAAATTCTTGGATAATGTATTGCTTATCAGATTATAAGCAGTGCAGTTCTGCATTCACACAGGTGTCTCCTTTTTGTCTAAATTTTTGGTTGTGCAGTACCTTTCATGTCATGGTGCTGACATGTCAATCAAGCAGATGCAAGCCATGCTTCCTATTGGCAAACGCAACATAATTCTGCACTAAAACACTGCTTCTGAGAAGTGAAAGGCGCTTTTTCTCTTTTTTAAAATTTTATGAGAGGTCAGTGAGGGCAGATCTGCGTTTGTTGTGAATGTGGAAGCGGCGAAACTCCCACACATGCTGCCCCAGACCTCCGAACCCTGGCCGTCCTCCTGGCCTTGCCGTTATCGGCCGCCGACAACCAACCCAGATGCAGAGCTGGAACCCAGTGAAGCCAGTGCAGTTACTGCCAGTCAGCTGTTCTTTTCTGGTTTTTACATTTTTAGAATTACATTTTAAATGCTTTTTTTCCCCCAAGATTTTTAAAGTTAGCTTTATGACTAAAGTAGACTAAAGACTTTATTATGTTGCAAGTTAGTATTTGATTCTTCTGCCTTTACTGAAACAGAGCAGGTAAAGGGCCTCTTTGGGGATGCAACAAGCAGGTACACCCCAGTAATATATGAAACTGAAAATATTCAGTAGTTTAATATTAGCATCGTGTAACATTGTGGGTGAATCCTTCAGTCTGCCTCCCCACACAGGCTGGCATGTAGAACTGCCTCATTGATGGACTTTAGCTTTGACCTTGACCACAGTTTACACCTCGCTTTTAGTGAGCCAGCCTACTCTTTCTTTTTCTACAATGCTAATATGCCCGGGGGGGTTTGGGTTGCCAGTTTTCGGATTCTACTCCTCTTTTGTAATTTTTTCTTTGTGTTCTCTTTTCCCTGTTTTTGAATTATTCTGTTTAAATAATGCAGGAATGTATCAGAACACACCCGTGTAACGCGCCTTGGGGCAACACTGTTGTGAAAGGCATTATATAAAAATAAATTGAAGTGAATATTATGTTTAGCTATATACTCAGATCCTGGCAACCTGTCCCTGTTCTTGGCAGGTCTGATGCCCGGCAGCCGCGATGTTCACTAAGAAGAAGAAGCAGCGCATCCAGATCTCGGCGCCCTCCAATTTCGAGCACCGGGTGCACACGGACTTCGACGAGCAGGAGCAGAAGTTTGTGGGGCTGCCGCGCCAATGGCAGAGCCTGATTGAGGATACGGCCAAGCGGCCCAAGCCGTTCATCGATGCCACAGTCATCACCAATGTGGGGCCGCGCAAGGTGAGGCGGCAAATGAAGGACAGCTTTGCTCTGATGATTTTGGGGTATTTATAGCCCATGTTTGACTGCTACATTAGGTAGCAACAAATGGTCCTGTTTCTCTATGGTACACTTCTGGTTGGGAAGAGTTCTTTAAATGAAAATTCTAGGGATGCACGATTTACTATTTTTTTCAGATCTAGAACGAGTACCGATGCTGGCTTTCTGGTACTCACTGATACCGATACCGATACCAATTATGGCTGTGCACTGTCTAAACAATAATATGCAATATTTTAACTTTAAAAAATTGGGAAGAACAATAATATTGATACTCCCCTCCCCCACCACAACACCAAGTGGGGCCCTTAAAACAAATAAATAGAGAGCCTGAACAAAACAATATACAGACAATCGGCTTTTCAGCCAGCGTTTAAGACCCGTTACCCTGGGGGGTAGGTGGGGCTGGTCATAGTAGTGCTGGTCATTGTTTTCCACCGACTAAAAAGCAATGGATCAGAGGGTTAATTATGATTTAAAAATATCACTCTAAAGCAGCGGTTCACAAACTTTTTATACCAAGTACCACCTCAGGAAGTATAGGGCTGTCTGCGTACCACCATTACCGCTGTGCCTGACCGATACCGGGTAAAAGTTCTGTTATTTTCACTGCACAAGGCTTATCAGTTGACATTTTCTCGCTCTGCTAGTGTTTACTGCACACTTGGTTGTCGCAGTGTGTTGCTGCTGGTGGTGACGTCACGGTCCCCTTTCCTATGTTTACTCTTTAGATATCTACCTCACTAGATATCTACCTGATTTCATATCTCCTCTCGATAGTTTAGTTTGGTGGAGCGCAGTTTGCTGCCCACTATGCTTTGGCTTTAGTTTTAACTGAAGTTTTTCCACGTCACAGACATTTTGTTGTATTTATTTTGCTCATCAGTGATACTGCTGATGTGTCGTTACGTGGGATTGGTTATAGGTGTCGTTGGTTGCTGTGTCGTTACGTGGGATTGGTTATAGGTATCTGCACATTGTCACGGGCTGAGTACAAGAGTTAAAGCCCCTTTGCACTGACTGCTTAACTGGATCCCTTTTGGTTAAACCAGGCAGTTGTTGGCTGATAATTGTACAGCCCCCCCGCCCCCCCATTGTGCAGTTTAATCCTCTTTTCTCCAGTTGTATTCTCTTATATCCTTCCATTTTCTCGGCAGACGTAGACCAGTATAACTGTACTTTATTTCACACTGTATTGTCAGTTAAGGTTATTGGAGAGTGAGACTTGAAACATTTAAATGCAGCAGAGAGAAATAAATAAAAGCTTCTATATGATGTGTGTTTATGTAACTCTTCAGATTCCCCTTTCTGAATGTGTAAATGACAAAAGTAGACGTTCTTACCAGGGTAGCATACATCACTGTCCTTTGCTTACACTGGGCTTTGCAGTTTTCCCACTAAGACTTGTGCCACTTGCAGTGGTCAGTGTTTGTCAGGCATGAGGATCTTTTGCAATCTGGTTTGTTGTATTCAAAAACATTCTGTATTTTACATAGTTGGCATGATCTGGGTTTTAAATTTCTAGTATTTTCATTAAATTGCTGGTGCTGTGAGATGCTGGTTTTGATGATGACAACATACTCACGAGGGGTGTTAAATATCAGCCAAAGCACAAAGCAGAAGATAAAATATGCATTGCTTCATGTCAATTAACCACACATCGTGATTAACATTTTTTAGTTGTTCTATGCTCCATTCTTAGCAATATAGATATTTTCCTGGAAAAAAAGCCACTTTTGGCTTCAGTTCCTGGCCCTGCTCCAGTCCATTAAAGCATGCATTATGAAAAGGTAGTTTCCCAGGTGCATTGTGGGCATTGTTTAAAATCTACCTAGTATTGTTTCCACTGAATGGGGGTTCGATGGCACCCCAGTGCCTTGTGTGTGAGGTTTCTTGACCTTACCGATACTTCATGCTGCTTGTGATTTTTGACCCAGTCAAAGCAGCACATCATTCTATGTAACTGAAATCCAGACCAAGATGTTGTTTCAACAACCAGTTGAGTATAACGAGTGACATTCACAGAGTAGTCAACTGTTGGAACAACATCAAGGTCTGGATTCATACTTTTTCTGTCTTTGGAAATATCCTACTGTTCAGTGGGAGGGAATTCAAAATGACGCCTTATGTTTTTCCATATATGTGGTATTTGTGATAAATACGAGCAGATAGTTATAAGCAGGTGTAACAAAACTGCAGCTCTCCGCAGTGTGAAGCAGTGTGTCTACCCCTCTCTTCCAGACCATCGTCAGAGGCAGTAAAATCGGGGTGGACGGCTCGCTCACATGGCTACTGGACGAGTTCGACACCATGTCGGTGACGCGCTCCAACTCCCTGCGCCGTGGCAGCCCACCCACCCAGCCTCGCCGCGGCTCGGGCTCCTCCGGCGGGGGAAGCCAGGAGAATGGGGAGCATCTCCACAGGCCCGGGGGCCACTCAGATCACCGCGGAGACAGCAGGGAAAGGTATGAATGCCGTGTTCGGAATGTAGCCGGCTGAACTCGGTTTTGATGCAGGAAAGTAAATATTTAACATCCTCGTGTGTCTTAGCAGCTTCGGCCAAGGGAGTCTGGCTGGGGGGGAGCGCATGGGTTCCTGTGTCAGTTCTGCTTTGCTCTTCCCATAGGGAGCGGCCGGCACAGGAGCCCGCAGCTGGGGATTCCCGGCAGTCCCAGAGATCGACCCCCACGCACCGCGGTGATGCTCGGCCCCAGCAGCAACCCCGGGGGCAGGAGCCGGGCCGCCACAGAGACAGGGAAACCCCAGGGTCGGCTCCTCCTCCGCCGCCCCCACACAAGGACAGAGAGCACCGCAACTACCCAGACGCCATGCCAAGGAGGGAGGGATCCTCAGACAAGCGGCCCAAATCCAGCTACACGGACCCAAACACCAGCCCTCAGTCCCCTCGAGACAAGAGACCCCTGTCAGGGCCCAACATCCGTACTCCAAACCTGCCCGTTACGGACGGGGTGATGAAGACTGCACAGCAGACTGGCCGCCCATTCAATACCTACCCCCGCACCGAGAGCGACTCTCCCCGGAGCCCCGGCCACCAGGTATTCATCAGTACAGCCCCCAGGGCACGAAATGTTCTGTCCCCAGCTGTTTCTAATCTGTTGTAATGTTTTATTTTTGTGGTACCTTATGATCCGTTATCAACCTAATCATAAGCATATGCTGGAATGGATGAAGTCAAGAATACAAGAATATCCTTTGGCTGTGTAAGCTGAATCAGAAGGAGTTCACACTTAAAAGGGGTTTGACTTGGCATGGTGCTCGCAATGACATAAACAAGCAGGGAATGGAGAACATAAAAACATCTCGCAGTCAACAGGCAACTCCCAACCAACATAAAATGCATGAATAAATGCGCGGTGCTGGATACCAACCGTGGTAATCATGTGCATTTGTATTGGTGGGTGTGTGCTGTTGATTGTTCAGGAGAGCCACTGCTCTGGAGAAGCAGGTGCTTTTGTGTCTCGAAATTTTTAGGGAGCAGGGAGAGGCTGAGAGATGCGATGGGTAGGGTGAGAGGGGTTGGCAGTGATCCTTTTCCCCCTGAATTTGGGAAAGTCAGTGCAGATCACAACCAGTGATGATGTGAGTAGTCTTGCTGATGTTCTGGTGTGTCGTTCTACCCTGTGATTTGGTGGACCCAACTCAGTCAGTCAGGGATTCAGGGTGGACTCAGGTCTGTGATCTAACCCGGCCCATGGGCCCTGAATGTCAGCTTTGGGATGGGTGCCGGTCAGTTTTTTTTGTTTAATTTTGGGCAAAGTTTGTTCAGATTTGCTAGTACTATTCGTGCCGGGTCTGGTCCCAAGGTCTCTGGAACGGGCTTCAATTTCATGCCCATACCGGTCTTGAATTCAGTTTAGGCTCTTGACTTAAAATCCCCTGTCACCAGAGTTGTACAACTATAAAACTGCAGGACTGCTTTCATTAGTATTTTCCAGCCAAAATACTAGAAGACTTGCGTCCAGTTATCCAGTGTACGTTGTCACATTTGCAGCATGCATGGATCTGAAGGAAATGTGTGGGTAACATCTTGGTAACTTTTTGACTTAAGTCCCAAGGTTTTTCCATGATATAAATTCTCTGTTTGAAAGTAAACGTTCTTGAGAATTTTTATTGTTATTTTACTAAATTACTTTTTGGGGAGAAATAAAAAGTAATTAACATTCCCTACTTGTGAGATCCAGATATGTGGAAATGCCTTTAGCTTTCCCATGGAGGCAAAGCGGTCGGTGGAGTTTTAAAGTTTTGTTTGTTTTGTTTATTTTTTTTCTTGCTGATTACTAGTTGTACTAACGACTATTCAGACACTAACTGGTCAGGTGTCGATCATTGTTGTTGTAGGTTTACAAATCAACCAGAATCAATCATAGTTTTTATTCATCCATTATAGAACCTTAAGGAGTAGCTGTATACAAATGCTTTTGCCAGCAACTTTGTCCAATAGAACAAATTTTAAAATGATAACATTTGTGGAATGATTGAGAGATGCACTTTTAAAAAGCAGGTCAAACGTCAAACTCTGAAGACCAAACAAGAACTGAAGAGTCAGTATCAGACAGTAGCAGCAGAGAGTCTCTTTGCTGGTCTGTACATAACTGAAGTGTGGATTAGTTACTTATTGTAAATAGTCTTATTCAAAATTGTTTTTTTTTTCGCAACCAATTTGTCAGAAAGACCCTTAAACAAAAATTTCCAGCAGGGAATTGTTGGAGGGGGGAAAATTCCAAAAATTATACAGAAAAAGTGTTATTTTTTTTTTGTCTTGATAGATGACAATTTTGTGTGCATAATACAAATGATCCTTAGACTTGCTTTCAGTTGTCAAGAGGATCCCCACTCTGTCCAGCACCTTTCGGGGGAATTGTTTTGTTTGTTTTTGTGAAGTAGCTATTGTTATGGTTATTTTTGTTAGCTGGTTTTCCCAACTAGCAGTCCCTGCCTGTCACTCCCCCACTCACTCTGCAGTACATACTTTTCATCTACTGGACATTATATATTTTCATTTTTATATTTCACTATTAAATATACCTCTGTTCCCTTTAATGTCCTTATTGTTAGTATATTGTACAGCTTGCTGTGCTCTGCATGGTTTTATTCCTTTATTCTTTTATTTGATCAAACTTTGTTCTTCTAAGTTATCTGTGAATGTAAGCAGCAATACTGCCAGAACAAATTCCTAGTACATGCGGTTGTTCCTGGCAAATACATTGATTTCTTGATTCTGAAAAAAGAAAATGGAAAGTGTAGTGCGCCTCGGGTCATCACTCTTGATGACAGCTTCTGGTTTCTGCTCAGTCCTCACAGGAGCTGAAGTCTGGGCGACCCCATGAGGTCCTGCCCCAGAACGGGCCTTCCAGTGGGCCTGTGTGGGTCGCTGCTGGAGAGGGCAGGCCTTCCCCAGGTCATTCCCGAGGGGACACTCCATCCAGTGCACATCACTCCTCCCACCCTTCACTGGGCCCTGACCCGCCGGCCCCTCACGCCCCAGTACCTCGCCCGCCTGGTCCCGCACCCTCTGGGCCCCCTCCCCAGGCACGGTCGCCCCAGCGCGAGCCCCAGCGCGTTTCCCACGAGCAGTTCCGCGCCGCCCTGCAGATGGTCGTGGACCCTGGCGACCCCCGTACATACCTGGACCACTACATCAAGATCGGGGAGGGCTCCACGGGCATCGTCTGCATCGCCACCGTCAAGAGCACCGGCAAGCTGGTGGCCGTCAAGAAGATGGACCTCAGGAAGCAGCAGCGCCGGGAGCTGCTTTTTAATGAGGTCAGCGCTTGGCGATAGGCCACCTGCCCCAGCGGCCTGCAGTTTCTGCTCACACACTCAGAAACACTTGGCTTGGTATTGAAGTATTATTAAAATGTTCATTTTAGCATTAGGCCAAGGTCTATCAGATTACGGATAGCACTGTCTTGGAAATATCCAGTCTTTATGTTGCAGAGCTGACTGAAAATAGATATATATATTTTTTCCCCTCATATTGCACCATGACTGCAAAAGGTGCTTTCCTACCAAAGTTCAGGAACCTTGTTCCTGGTTCTAAGTTTCTGGGTAGTCTTGACCGGAAACTTTTGTACTTCCTGGCCACTTGCGTGTGTCGCATTCCCATCGCACATCAGGAACTGTGATCTTTATGCTGAAAAAACATGGGAGACTCGAAAAGCTTCTAGGTTGAACTTCCATGTGTAACTTCATATGAAACTAAAAACAATAAGTTAATTTTTTTTAATGGAATAACTGCATGTCTTGTGTTTTAGCAGCTTTATTGTAAATAATTCTTTTCTTTATGCCTGACAGGTTGTGATCATGCGGGACTATCACCATGAAAATGTAGTGGAGATGTACAACAGTTACTTGGTTGGGGACGAGCTGTGGGTTGTCATGGAGTTCCTGGAGGGTGGGGCTCTGACTGACATTGTCACCCATACTAGGTCAGTATTTTCTTTGTTTTATAATAAGACCAAGTGCTAGTATAAAGTGTCTTGGATCCTGCTGAGAGAACAATTCTTTTTTATGATAATTTTGCCATAAGGGGGCAGTATTTAGTCACTGACTGCATTCCACCATTGTGATCTGGAACATACTGAGATGTATGCTTTCGGAGAAACACTCATGGTGATTGACCTGATTTGAATAAAAGATCATATATTAGTTTTTGCTTGCTTACATCCCCCTTCTGTCAGCCAGAACACCACAGAGGAACACATGTATGAGTAACTTAAAGCATGAGTCACCAAAATGGATATCTTTCTGCGTCCTGTGTAAAATGTTTACATGAACTTGCTGTCTTCTGTTTCAGGATGAATGAGGAGCAGATTGCCACGGTCTGCCTGTCTGTTCTGAAGGCGTTGTCTGTTCTGCACACTCAAGGGGTCATACACCGAGACATCAAGAGTGACTCTATTCTGCTTACACACGACGGCAGGGTAGGTTGNCCCCCCCCCCCCCCCGAGGTTCTCATCACTTTGGATCAAACTGTGGCTTAAGGAAACCTATTTAAGATTGTCTGAGCACATTATCTGCAGGATGTTAGTTCTCATAACCACTAACACCAGTTAGATCAGTGTACTGGGATTGTTCCAGTAGAATTTCCTGCCGCTCAAATCAATTGAAGTTCACCCGTAGGATAGAAATGACAAAGTAGCTGAATTTAAATGTGTGGATGAGAGTATTCAGTGAGCTCACTGAAGAACTGACTACAATATGTACTTTCTGTAGCAAGTCTTATTAATCAGGCGATACCAGCCCATTGTTTTAGTGCAGCAAAAATTTTTGCTCTGTAGGAAAAGAAAATATTACTTTTGCTGGGTATGGTCTCCCTGAACACCGCAGTGCTACAGTAACACATTCTCTAAATGACATTTTACATACATACATTTCCATACTAACGGGTACACCCTGACTAGGCAATACGCATCACATACTACATACTGTACAAACATAATTTGCAAAAAGGGATGCAAAAACATGACAGGGCAGTGCAAACTCTAAACTGGATCTGAACGGCATTACTAGTGTGGTGAAGTAAAAAAAAAACAAACAAACTTGACAGTAGATGATGTCATGATGTCGGCACAGAAATGATGTCAACGAAAGGCTATGAAATGAAAGTACAAAGTGATACAGTTGCCTTCCTGTGCAAATGACACAACACAGGCAGACCCGGAATGACGAAGCAGGATGAAATAGCTGCGTGTGAATTCTGGTGGCAGCTTCAGCAGACTTCAGCAGTCTTCCGTGTTGTGAAAAGACTGGTTTGTCAACTAGTACTTCTGAAGAAGTAGGTCGGCACGGCGTGGTGCGGCGTAGCGCTGCGGACGGACCTGGGCGTGTCGGGAGGGTGGGGCTTGCGGGGAAAGTGCAGCCACCCTCAGCTGCTTCCTGCCAGCAGCCTGGCTGCACGTCTCACTTCTGCTATCAATTCGAGACGCCGCTTCTGCTTTTACTCCCTGCCCTTCTTCGGATTTCAGCCACACCAGCATGCAAAGCAGCAGTCTAACTTCTCGTTTTGCTTCATTATATATGTTAACCTGGCAGCAGCACTGTTAAAAGCAGCTACTCATACTTCAGACATGTTTTAATGCATTAAAATCTAAAGCACTATATAAACAAAGAAGCTAGAATGCAAATAACTAATGCAGGGATCTCATACTCAAGTTACTAGATGAGCTGTTAGGAGGGCCGTTTGCAATTATGGATTTTAAATTTTATTTAAGTACGTCTTGACCAGTGCTGGCTCTGCTTGCTACCAGAAATGTGACGATTCTTCCGCTACGACAGTTGAGCTTTGAGAATATTAGCCCCCTGCAGTCTCTCAGAAGCTGGCGGCTTCTCTGCGTCCACGATAAACTCGCTTTCCACATAGCTAGGCCTCAACTGCCACGAAATATTCCCCCTTTGCTGGCTATAAAAAAAAAAACATTTCTGCTCTATGGACAGACATCTTACTTCCTCTTCTCTTTCTCATATTTCCTCAAGACTGTAGTCCTTAAGAATGATTCTTTTAACTTGCAGATCAGCAAGGCAGCATTGGTATTAAATGAAACAAAAAACTACTGTCCATCTTATGTAACCTATGCTGCAAGTTTCACTTTCGGCTTTGTAAGAGACATTTAAGCAAGGACAGATGGAGCTTTGCAAGCTACCAAATGCAGAAATACAGACTTTTGTGGGATCCAGTGCACTTAGTTTATGGGATGATTGTTAGCTCATAGGTTAGTCAGTTAGCTGCCTGATTACATGTTTGTTTAAGCCTATAATTAGTTATCTGCTCTTGTTGTGCAACTTCTTAAGAGAACTATGCAACTTCCAGAAAAAAACCAGAATGCATAAAATTGGGTTTATGGTTAAATTAGAACTGTTAGGGGCCCTATGAAAGTCGTGGGCTTGTAGCTTGAGACTTCTGTACTATTGGGAATTCTGGGAAATTAACACATTTGGTTTACTTGTTTGTGTTGGAAAAGTTGTGGTATAAAACGAAGGCAGGTAATGGAACCAAACAGACGATTATAGCGATGCATTTTCTGTAGTAATTTGGCCCATGTGTAAATTGTTGTTACCTCAGCTTTTTAACAAAACACTTTTTCTCATTAGGTCAAGCTTTCAGACTTCGGCTTCTGCGCCCAGGTGAACAAAGAGGTCCAGCGTCGCAAATCCCTTGTGGGGACTCCCTACTGGATGGCCCCAGAGCTCATCTCCAGGCTGCCATATGGACCCGAGGTTTGTTATCAGATACGTAGCCTGAGTTTGTGCTGATCAGCCAGAAAGTAGCCTCAAGTTAGGGCTCGTTCCCACTATGCGCGTTGTTGCGTTTTTCATCAACGTCCCCATTCTGTGATTCGCTAGAACGCCATCCATTGCAAAGATGACAATGTATGATGTTCCCACTAGTGTGCTGCATTGCAGTGCATTTTGAAAACGCAGTGCTGCACGTATTTCTCTACACTGCACACTCCCATTGATGACAATGTAAAACGGATACAAACACAAGTGTTTGCATGCATTTTTTTTACTCCGTTTTTCCCCAGAAACACTAGGGACAATCATGTAAATTCATAGAAATGGTTACAATACGATGCAACATATAAAGACGCACAAGAACATAGACACACACAAAAAATGCATGCGAAAAAAACGCAGTATAACACTTTGTGCTTTTCATTTTGGTTTTTTTGCATCCCTAGTGTGAACATACCCTTACACTTTCATAATTTGAAAAATGTGACAATGACAAAAAAAAATTCTTTAAAAAACAAGCGAATGTTTTGACATGTACAAAGTTAGAAAAAGGTATTTAGGCAGCGGTTTGTTTTGAAACGCTTGTGTATTGTTCCATTCCCAAGAATGTCTTCCTCTAACTTCATGGCATTTTCGGTTTCGGCTCAGGTTGACATCTGGTCTTTGGGCGTGATGGTGATAGAGATGGTTGATGGAGAGCCCCCTTACTTCAATGAACCTCCTCTCAAAGCAATGAAGATGATTCGTGACAACCTGCCACCCAAGCTCAAAAACCTTCACAAGGCATGGCACTGTTTCCATTTGTTGCCATTTTGGCTTTAATTATTTTAGGCTCATGGGAGTATTATGTACACAAAAAATTATTGGTTCTCTCTCTGAACCAATCACATTGTAGAGGAGGTGGTTCCAAGCTACTAGAGGAGGCGGGACCAAGATATCTGATTGGTTGATCCTGCCTCCTCTAGTTGCTTGGACCCCCCCCTCCTCTACAGTCTGATTGGTTATCTCTCTGAACCTCAAATCATTTTTCCCTCTGCCCTCCAGACATGTTTGTGTAAGTAAAACCCCCATGTGCTTATTTTACATTTAAAGTGCTGTCTTTTACCAACGACCACTATGCAATCTCAAATTGTGTTTTTCTGCATTCTGCCATTGATTGACCCCCGATCTGTTAAGCAGATTGTAAATGCAGTTGCATACTTCCCTAACTTCTCCCTGCCCTATCTAGGTTTCTCCTCTTCTCAAGGGCTTCCTGGATCGAATGCTGGTGCGCGACCCTGACCAGAGAGCTCCAGCCAACGAGCTACTGAAGCACCCCTTCCTCAGCAAGGCGGGGCCTCCCTCCTGCATCGTGCCCCTCATGAGGCAGAACCGCATGAGATGAAGCAGCATCAGAGGCCTCTGGCCTCACTCTTCCTTGGGAACGTTTCGTTAGGGAAGCCCAGGACTTTACAGACTAACACTGGGCCCCACAGTGAAACGTGCTGCATTTGGGATGAAACTAATGTTCTTTCCTCTTACGGTCAAGCATTTTAAAGTATGGAAATACTTAAGATGGCTGAATGTCAGCTTATTCTCAAAATGAGTACCCTAGAACACTATTGCCTTTAAATGCTTTTGTTCCCCCTTGTTTTATGTTCATTCCTGCCACACCCGGGACCATAGGAGGAAACTGGATGACCCATTGATCCGCTTGTACAGCTGTAAAGCTTTGCGGAGTGCCGCGAGACCTCTCCACGTCCAGACGCCGTGGTCATAAGCACTCACTCGCTATCATCTGACAGGTCTCACCCGAGCCTGATTGCACAGGGCTAAAGATTTCAAAATCATCTAGAACTTTGCTTGGCCATGTACGTGATCATAGAATCGTTACGCATCTCAAGCCAAGTTAGGAAATCTCACGATCTCGGCACACTACTGGTCAGCTTGGAGGGACCTAAGCCTCCTTCCATTTGTGCACAACAAAAAATTAAGAGTAAGAAGTACTACTGAAGGATCGACCACACTATTCTCATGACACTATGAACCTTTTTTTTTTTTTTTTAGAGAATACATTCTAGCTTTCTGTTATGAACACTAAGCAAAGATAGACACTGGAATTGTTTAATTTTTACTTTTGTATAAATATAAATATATTGAAATATTTTTCCCACTCTGTGGATACAGTGAGCTGACTGAGGCACCGTGTAATAGTGATACAGGCTGCTTTCCCCTTCTTTACCAACATAAGAAATCTGATGCTTTTGCAAAGGATGAAAATTCTTTGTCAATTTTTATAAGTATGGGTTTGGGATGAATTTTATTTTAAATGCCTTTTTTAAGAAAAGAAAAAAAACAGCAATTTTCCTACTGTAGCACTGTAGGTATTTAAGCCTAATACAATGCCATGATCCTGTAAGCATGGACTGTGTGAAGAATGACCATAATTGTGCTGGAACAACACTATAGGCCTGCTGCTATCGCTGGCCAGCTGGGTTTTTAGGATATTTCTAGGGGTGGAGAAATCAGTCTACATGAATATATAACTGAGCCATGGAGTATCCATGCAAGGGCTTATTAAAAGATAAACGTGCACATGATAGCAGAAGTGGGCGTGTTTGAGGTGTTGGTAGCAGTGGCCTGAACTACGACATGGGGATGCATTTTCAACTGGAGGACCCATATGTCCAAACGCGTGTTTATGTAAATATAGCAAGTAGGCTGAGTCTGAGCCAGCAACGGCTTGCCTAACAGCTGAGAACAAAGCCCTTTTCTGCATGCATTCAGAGAACACAGAAGAGAGCGGTCGTATAAAGATGCATGACCAGCTCTCATGAAGTTGATTCTTTTGAATGTGTCCTTGCAGGCTAAGCTGTATGTGATCTGTAGCTTTGCACCAGCACTGATAAGGCACCGTGTATCAGCACAGATATCGATCAGTTGGCCACACAATGGTGACTGAAGGGCGGAGCGAATTAGGAGAAAAAGTAGTTTTAACTTAGAAATGGTCTATTCCTAATAGCTTTATTGAAAGACAATTCATTGTATGCGTATATATGTATACAACTGTGTGTTTGTACCAGCTTTGTCAGATTTTTGTTACTGGATGTTCACAATTTCTCAGCTGTTTATCTCATTTTAATGTTCTATTTATGCTTCAAAAGGAGTCATGGAATTTGGTTAAGTTTGTAGAATGAGTGTAGTGTCTGATTAAATGGAAAATTAAAATTGGTAGTTTTATTCGAAGGCGAGTGGAATCTTCCTTTTGTTGTGACTGACTGACAGGATGAGAGCGGAATAGTCTGTCTGTGGATTCCTTCCCTTTTCATGAGTTTCTGACTTCCTCCTGCAGCGTGAGGGCAGATACACAAATATAGTGGGACACTATGCAGCGGTTCCTCACTTCCTATATTTCTGCCCATATAATATGCTAGACTAGTTGCTAGCTTCTTGATCTGGAAGTACAGAAACAGAAAAAAAAAACTTAGGGGTGGGCATTGCTAGTGAGTGAGCACCCTTTACTTCCTCAGTAATGTACACGGCCTTGAACCCAACGTAGCCTCTTGGTCATATGCAGACGTTTTTCTGTCACCTTTATGTGTGACATTGTTTAGACTTCAGCTCAGCGTCGTCTCAAGAGTGAGCCGTTTAAACACGTAGTGCAAGTTCTCTTAAGGACACAGGTGAGTTACAAAGAGGTGTGTGTGTATGACTGCAAGCAGCCCCTGTTCAGAATTTCTGAATGGAAATAGAAAGCTGTCTTTTAGGACAAGAAAATGCAACAATATGCCATTTTAAAAAAAGAGAAGCATTCTTTGTGTGGTTTGAATAGGTGTGTTTGAGGAAGTATAGGAATGTCGACCAAAATCTAGAATATCAACGTTAAATGTGAAGTTATGTTCCTGCCTTATGTTGACATATTTAATATACTTGTTATAAGTACTAAAATGATTACCCCTCCACAATATTACTCTCGATATATTTATTGTTGCAATTTGTCAGTGTCGCACCTATTCAACATTGAGTTTCAGAATTCACAACAATAATTCAAAACATGGTTTTAAATTTTACATAATGACAAACGTTTTTGGCTGCAAGTGCTTAGCCTAATGCCTTTGGTTTTCTTTATGCTGAACAGAACTCAATGATTTCTATCATGAGTGGCTTAATGATCAAAATATGCATAAAGACCAGATTTTTGTAACTGATGACTACAGTACATACTGGCTCTTGTGTTTTTTTTTTATGTGTAGAACACGGATTTATCAGTCCTTTGAATTTGTGCATTACGTTGGTGTGCTCTGTCACTTAAGGGTATTGAGGATTTCTGAATGGATGATGCAATGCTTTCACCAGTAGGTCACTGTTTATACATTAATTTGATAAAAAGAGAACAACACCTGCAAGCGGATGTTTTTTCAAATACATGTTTGCAAAGGTGAGGTTTCTGTGTCCACTTCAACTTTTTTCTTTCTTGTGGCTAACCACCTTATTTCCGTTTATGTGCATTTTTAATAGAAGTGATTATTCAACGCATTGTATTTTGAAAGTCGCCAGTATTAAGGTAACACGAACTACTGCAGGACAATGCCTAAGCATAAATATCATTTCAGGTATATCATTTCAGGTATATCAACAGAGATCTTTTCAAAATATATTTCCCATATCAGTCGTAGCAACTATATTCCATTGAAAGTCACTGATTTTACGAAACGTATCTGAAGTTTTAGGAGATGTCAGTGGTACTCAAGCATTACAGCGGCGTATAAACTAGGGGGATTGTGCACCCCAACAGAAAACTTCCCAGCACCCTTGTACGCCCACCGTGTTAATTTCACTAGTAAAACTCAAAAATCATTTATTAATGTCGTAACTTCAAGCCTAAGCGTAGACACTGCGGACAATGAGATCAACCCATTTAAAATAACTGCATGTACCTATGATAAATGATGGTAGCGCTTTCTAAGAGTTAGGCTACATTAACAGTAGCCAAGACAGTAAGCCACTGATTACCCAACCATCGAACCATAAGACGCTCATTACTCAGACTACTTTTGAAACATTTACGAGTACATATTTAACAAAGAGTTCATCTGCTGGTAAAATGCGTTTTTCCGACGTAACAGATTACCAAAAGCGTAACCTTTTGTAATCCCTTCAGGTTCTGTAACTTCAGGTTGTTGCAAGAGTTTGGGATAAGCAGTTTTGACATGCTTGACTTGCATTTCAGAAGGCTGATCCAAGTGCTTCCTATTGAGTCAAACGCAGGGTCGCCAATTCTCACGCTGATGGTAAATCATTCCATCGTAAACCTAAAATTAGCAAAAGCGTTGGGGTAGATTGCAAACCCTACAGACTATTTACAAGGTAATAAAACTTACGTACATGTAAATGCGTGGGCAGGCTTATGGTGTCTGGAACTGAAAAGTTATTAGCAACCATGCAAAGGCCGGGGAAGCTGACGCCCCCAGCCCTTCTGCTCTTATTGCATTACTCACCTTAGTTAATTATGCTCATGGGAAAACTATTTCAAACAAACGCAACGAAGACATGAAAATCAAACGTGAAGCGAATCATTCGTAATCAATTCTATTATCAGCGATGCTGTATACAATGAGAAGTATATATCGCTGCTTTTGTGTGATAAGGTAATTTAAGTATTGTATTACTACTACCTTACTCAACTATATTCATGCAAACAACTGATGATCAGTGATAACCTAGTATCCAGAAAGTCTGTCAGCTGGTTAAATCTACTGTTACAAAAAGTAGTTTACTCATTTGGTGCATAAGTAGAAAGTTTCATTTCCTGTTTGCTGAGCTTGTTGAGAATAGGAACAAAACATCCAAAACAAATGTATATAACTGCGGTCTTTACCCACGCCTTTATGTCATATATTTAATGTTTATTGTTCTGAAATGTTTGCAAATCGCAATTTCAAGTAATAACGCACGTCAAATAGCCAATATCACGTCAGTCTGTTTTGTATGTATGCAATCTCATTAAAATGCACGGCGGAGTACAGAGTAAAGGGGTGGAACCTTTCCGCGAAACGCGGGCGCGTGCAAAGGGCGGAGTCTCGCCGCTCGCGCTTCATTTAGCGGTGCCCGAGCAGCGGTTCCGGAGGCGGCGGGCATGAAACCCACCCATCATATGCGGCCATAAACCTTCATTTACAGGGAATATCCACAAGTACTAGGACTGCCAGTTTAATATCTGTCATTCGTAACGCAAAAAAGGTAAAGATGACGATACTGTTCTTTTTCGTATATGAATCGTTTAATATTTTTTGTAAAGAATTGAGTTTACTAAGGTTTACATGTATTTTAAGTTTCTATGCTCGACCTCTTCCTTAGCAACATTAGATATTTAGTAATGAATATATCAAACGCCATGTTTGAAGGTATTTATGAAGCATGTTTGTTGTATAATCTGCAGAAACAGGAGGGGATGCCGTACTGACGTTAAATTTAAAATGCCGTTTAATTGACATTGCAGCTGGGGTCACTTATATTTTCTTTTCCTTTTTTAATTTCTAGAAAATAGTTACTGTCCTGCACTTTTTGATTGTTTACTCCTGTCGCGGAAAGTCAGATTTGCTGATCACTGATTTTTCGTGTAATCTACGGAGCAACACTCATGATAGCGAAAACATGCTTTTAAAATCATATCAACACATACACGTCAAACGAAAGGTCGACGGTTTGCGACGTGACCTCTAAAGATTAGTCGGCTAACTGGCGCGCGCTCAGTTGTTTCGCACGGCTGCAATTCTGCAAAACTACATGGGCGCGAGCCTGCCTGTTATTTGCATTTCTTACTACCTGTAGTAACACTTGTATTCCTCGACTAACCTTTCCATTAGCGTATTGAAATCGGTAATGTCCTTTACAAAGCTGTAGGTTTGATGTAGTAAAGAGTTAATTTAACTTTGGTAAAACGTTTTTCTGTATCAGGCACAATATTTTTAGTTGCAGCATAATGTTTATGCATTTTAACAGGGAATCGTCATATGTTCCCACTGCCCCATATTGGATAAGAGTTTGAAATTGTATGAATGATCATATTTCAGAATCACGCTGATCAAGCTGTCATTATATATCGGACTGGTAAAAATGAGGCCTGTCACCCTGAGAATCATGCACTAATGACTGGTGCTGCTGGAAACCAAAACCACATCAGAAACACAATGTGACTCATTTGACATTCGTGCAAGGTTTTCGATCTTGCACTGGTCCACAGTGAAAAAAAATTAAAAAAAACATAATTCTTGCAAAGGATGTTGTGGTGTAGCTTTGTGGTTAGAGCTGCTACAGCTGTCAGACAGATAGACAGCGCCTCTCGAGCACTGACCCTTACACAGAATTCATATGGAAAAACAAAACGGGTCAGGTGTAGCTGTAAGTTGCATTTTGAGTTGAGTCGGTCTCTACTCTTTAACTCCCCATATTGAACCACTACAAGTTGGTGTGAGAGCAGATCAATTTTCACACATGTGTTTATGCTGAATAAACTTAATGTGAATGTAGAAACATACAAAAATTGAAATAATAATAAAAAAAAGCGATTCCTGTGGCATTCTTGGGGAGTAAAATCAATTTGTGATATTGTACTGAACATTAGAGCTGCATAAATATCACTCCTTGCTTGATTCATTTAGTAGAGCAAGTGAATGTTGCTGTGCCCTGAATCTCTTTTTTATTTCCTTTGCCAGCCAGACGTGTGTATTGATGTCTGTGTGTGGACCAGCTCTACAGAAATGTGCACATCCAGCCATAGGCTGTGTCATCCTCATCGTGGTTGTCTTGCTGGATTTTGTCGCAGGTAATTTCCCCACAAGTGCTCCAGCACGGCTTGAATTATCTACCATGAACCCCTGGGGTCAAATGATCTAGCCAATAGCCAGAATCCACCATTACTGCTTTTTTTCCCTCTTAATGCCATTTCTCACTTACCCTGCTGCACATGACAGGTTACAGTGACGTTTAATTTTGACGCGCGATTCGCTTTTGGCTCCATCACCGACACTCGCAACTTGTTGCTGTTTCCAGAAACTAGTCAATAACCTCACAAATAACACCTGAAGTACAATAATGTTTTTTTGTTTTTAGCAGAAACCATTCAATCCATTCAAATTTAGTTTTACAAGTGTATTTGTACTGGTGCAAAGAACCTTACCCACTTTGCCATTTGCTGTTAGGGTTTGGTTAACCCTATCCTGTTCATTCGTGCCCTTTAGCTGCCAAGTTGAATTCAATGTAGCATTATCTGGCAAAAACCAGACAGAACTGGTCTGACTGTGTTCATAATCTATCTCTGATTGTTTCCTAGGCAAGAACTGCAGCCACCCCATAATGCCGGAACATGTCTCCTTCCGCTGTGAATCATCTCCCTGCCAAGGCTTCCCACACCAGAGCACCATCCACTACATCTGCGAGTCGGGCTATTTTATTCCTGGACGTCGTTATTCCCGCTGTCGCAAAGGAACATGGGACCCCCCCATCCCCACCTGCATTCTTCGCACAAGTAAGAAAACGGGCGGTGTCTTCCATTCTGGGTGCTTCATGTGGGATTTTCCAAACTGATTACTAATTTTGCACTTATTTTTAGATACAGCAAGCAATTTAGCTCAACTGACTGAGATATTCAAGTTTATATGCAACTAGCTTTTTTTTCCTCAGAATAATAATTTATACTTTGTAAACAATAGAATGAAATGAGGAAACTAGCTTTTCTGATTACAGATGTCACTTTTGTGAATGGATGATTCAGTCCTCAAAGGGTTAGGGAACATAAGTAAAACAGGCAATACGTGCATTTTCCTGTCTTTCAAAATACTTGTGGCTTTTTGTATGAACAGGCCGTTCCCATCTGTATTGTAATATGCTTGTTGCTACAGTTACATCATCGCAATGACTTTTTGTCATTTTCTTGAATGACAGTATACACTTTGTGTCATTGTATGTCACACTATATAGTATGTACTGGCACATTAAAATATTAGAGATCTTTAAATTAAATATTCAACTGGTTGATACTATTGTGACACCAGTAATTACACTGTGTGCACAATTATTAGGCAAGTGAGTATTTTGGCCATATCATCATTTTTATGCATATGTTCCAACTTCAAGCTGTATAAACTTGAATGCTTATTGGATTTAAGCATATCAGGTGATGTGTATTTGCGTAATGAGTGAGGGTGTGGCCTAAGGAGATCAACACTCTATATAAAGCTGTGCATAATTATTAGGCAGCTTCTCTTCCTCAGGCAAAATGGGCCAAAAAAGAGATTTAAAGGACTATGAAAAGTCAAAAATTGTAAAAAGTCTTTCAGAGGGATGCAGCACTCTTGAAATTGCTAAGATATTGGGGCGTGACCACAGAACCATCAAACGTTTTGTTGCAAGTAGCAGACAGGGTCGCAAGAAACGTATTGAGAAAAAAAGACGCAAATTAACTGCCAAAGATTTGAGAAGAATCAAACGTGAAGCTACCAGGAACCCGTTATCCTCCAGTGCTGCCATATCCCAGAACTGCAACCTACCCGGAGTGTCCAGAAGTACAAGGTGTTCAGTGCTTAGAGACATGGCCCAGGTAAGGGAGGCTGAAACCCGACCACCACTGAACAAACCAGACAAGTTGAAACGTCAAGACTGGACCAAGAAATATCTGAAGAGAGATTTTTCAAAGGTTTTATGGACTGATGAGATGAGAGTGACTCTTGATGGACCAGATGGATGGGCCCGTGGCTGGATCAGTAACGGCACAGAGCTCCACGTCGACTCAGACGACAGCAAGGTGGAGCTGGGGTTCTGGTATGGGCTGGTATTATTAAAGATGAGCTAGTTGGACCTTTTCGAGTTGAAGATGGCCTCAAAATCAACTCCAAAACCTACTGCCAGTTTTTAGAAGATGCTTTCTTCAAGCAGTGGTACAGGACAGAGTCTACATCTTTCAAGAGGACCATGATTTTTATGCTCCATCACGTGCACCAATGTACTCCACTGCATGGCTAGCCAGTAAAGGCCTTAAAGGTGACAGAATAATGACATGGCCCCCTTCCTCACTTGACCTAAACCCTATTGAGAACCTGTGGGCCCTGCTTAAACAGGAGATTTACAGTGTAGGAAAACAGTACACCTCTCTGAGCAGTGTCTGGGAGGCTGTGGTTGCTGCTGCACAAAAAGTTGATCGTCAACAGATCAAGAAACTGACAGACTCCATGAATGGAAGGCTTGTGACAGTTATTGAAAAGAAGGGTGGCTATATTGGTCACTGATTTTTTTTTTTGACATGTCAGAAATGTTTATATGTAAATTTTGAGTTTTTATTATTCTCACTTTAACAGATGAAAATAAACAAGTGAGATGGGAAAATGTTCGTTTTTTCATTTAGTTGCCTAATAATTGTGCACACTGTATATTCTCTTAAGAAAGACAAAACCTCACTTTTACTTTCTTAAACAGTCAGCTTTAGGTTCATTAACATTTTGGATTGACCGAGAGCACTGTAGTTGTTCAATAATAAAATGAATCCTCAAAAATACAACTTGCCTAATAATTGTGCACACAGTGTATAAGCCCCCCCCCCATCACTGTAAACCACTATAAGACAGGAAATCCACTGTGAGAACAGGAAGTCAGCTAGGTAGAAACTAACCATTTTCCTCTACGCAATTAAAACTGGGGAAAATGTCTCAGAAAAATATTGAACTTTCATTCCGATAAACCCAGACTGTCTAGAAACTGGTCTGGGTCTTACACCCTCAAACTGTTCTCTTTGTATCACTATGGGTAAATGACATTATTTCTATTGTAGCCACTACTGATAATTATTATTAATTGCTGTGTATGTGTTTGATTTACACAGCGGGGCACGTTTACACAGATGATAGAGAAGTCCAGTCTCTCCCAAGTGTTGCCACAACAGCAGTTGGTGTATCGATCTTCCTGCTCACTACCACAGCCTGCATGGTGATTAAGTCCCGCCTCTACCCCTGTCAGTCAACCAGGTAAGAGATTTTGCACCATGCATAGCTGCAAAGGTTGGGGGTTTTCCGCGTGGTACTATTTTCCTCTGACAGTTGGAAAAACATGAAGTTTAGGTGAATATGTGTGTATATTCACATGCACACACTAGATGTCTATCTTTGTGGGGACTCTCCATTCATTTCTATGGGCATAACCATAATCCCAGCAATGACAACCTTACCTCCTACCCAGCCCTAACCCTAATCCTCAGTAGCTTAACCCTTTTGGCATTTTTAGTTTTTTGATTGCACTCTGTGGAGACCGAAAAAATGTCCCAAGAAGGTCAAAATAACAGGTTTAATCATATTGTGGGGCCATTATTATTACCAAAACCACACGCACACGGCATGAAATGGACTGGCATTCCAGTTGGGGTGTGTCGGCTCTGTGCCCTTTGCTTCCATGACCAAAAATATCAATATTTTGCTTGAATTGAAAGCTCCATCTTGAGATCATGCCTTGTGTATTTCTTGTAGGCATACCCCTGAGCAGATGGACCTGATGGTGGACGGGCTGCCGGTTTCTCTTCCGACATATGAGGAGGCGGTGTATGGGAGTTGGGGCCAGCGACTCACCCCCACTCATGGACCGACCCAGCTCTTATTGGCCCAGGAGACTAATGGGCACAGCCCACTTTTGCCTCAAGTTCAGGTGGAGATAAATGGTTCTCCTCAGCTGTCCAATCAGAGCACAGAGCTCCCACCACCATATGAGGAAGTACAGTCAAGATCCTCGGGGGATCAGACTGTAGGGGATGGACAAACACTACAAATTGCACTTTCTCAAGACAAGGACAGCTAATGCCACAGTTTTTTTTGATAACTGTTCAACCTATTGGTTATAACTGCCAAGACTGCGACGTTGTTTGCATAGGATGCATTTTCATCATGTTTTATGATGATGGCTTTTGAGTGGCTGAATATCACTAAAAACAAGTGGCTTAAATCTTTCCTATGGGTTGAGAAACATATGATTTAGAGTGGCTAAACCACATGATCACAATAGTGATCAAGTAATAATATATTCATGGCAACATTGCTGTGTATTTCCAGCAGACGCTGGGAATTTGAACATTGCTATCCTGTCAGTGATGGGAACAATACTGGGCATTCTTTTGGCCAGTTAGAGGAGGTAGTACTTACTGTGATATCCAGCATTGCTGTTGGTGCATCACTTATAGGCGGAAGTATGATGTTCATATATGTTTGGAAGGAAACCAAGTGTTGGTGGTATTTCTCTGAACGTGGCACCAGCAGTGAGTGAGATGGAACAGAGTGGTAGCAAGACGGAAATGTAGTACCTCTTATGGAGATGGGAGATGTAGACCAGATAGAATCTATGTGATGTTGTTCCACCAAACCTCTCAAACTTACCACTGTACCTAACCCAACGCTTCCTGCTCCTTCACCCCTGTTTGTCTCCAGCCAGAAATGGAAAGTGAGAGGTTTCACAGTACATGAATGCACAGCGACTTTGAAGATATTATCACCTTTGCCAATTTCCTCTATAGCCTGTTGGTTTGTTTCTTCCTATCCATTTTATCCTGACTGTGTGTAATGATTACCTAGGCGCCAAATGCCATGTGGTGTCGAACTGAATGAATGGACTTTAAAAAAAATAAATAATAATAATTAATATATTCTTCAAGTAACATTAACATTGTGTACTCTGCTACAATATTACATTTAATAAAAATGTATAAATGTACAAATGTTTTTTTGGTAAGACTATTTGAAATAATATTGTAGGAGAGAAGGCAGTATTTGTAACCATAAAACTGAAGACCAGCTGCTGGTTAAATGGAAGAAAACATAAAAAAAAATGTAAATACCTTTAGAGGAAATATGGTATTTCATAAATAGGTGTGCTCAAAATAGCAATATATATAGTAACGTAGAAGAGAACCACTGAAATCACGAACCATCATGGCGCAGTGGTACAGTTACATTATTGCAGTGACTTTGCATGCTCTTCCCACGTTCACAGAGGATTCCTCACAGCCAAACACATGCAGTCGGGTAAATTGTTCTCCCAGTTGCGAGTAGCGTGAGCACGCACCCTCCAGTGGTTCCAGTATGGAAGATGTGGGGGGAAAAAATCAATCTGACCAGTAACATTAATGCAGTTAAGATGGTCAAACACACAGATCAGTCATAACATTAAAGCACTTGCTTAATATTGTGTAGGTCTCCCACCTGCCACCAAAACCTGTCGAGGCATGGACTCCACAAGACCTCTGAAGGTGTGTTGTGGTATCTGGCACTAAGACATTAGCAGCAGATCTTTAAAATCCCGTAATTTCTAAGGTGGGTCCTCTATGGATCGGACTTGTTTGTCCAGCATGTCCCACAGATGCTTGATCAGAATGAGATCTGGAGAACTGAGGCCAAGTCGACACCTTGAACTCTTTTTCATGTTCCACAAACCATTGCTGAACAAATTTTGAAGCATTATCCTGCTGAAAGAGAAATACCGCTTCCGTGGAGGGGGATACTTGGTCTGCAACTATGTTTAGGTAGGGGGTGGGTGTCAAAGTAACATCCACATGAATGCCAGGACCCAAATTTTCCCAGAACAACATTGCCCAGAGCATCGGGCTGCCTCTGATGGCTTGCTTTCTTACCATAGTACAATCTGCTGCCATCTTGGCTTTCCTTGGCACTAACCACTGCATACTGGCAACACCACACTAAACCTACCATTTGGGAGATTTGGCCCTTAATCGAAGTTGCTCAGACCCTTACACTTGCCTGTGTTTCCCGCTTCTGACACATGAACTTCCAGAACTGGCTGTCCATTTGCCTGACATATAACACCACCACTGACAGGTGCCACTGCAACCATACAATCGATGTCATTCACTGCACCTGTCAGCGGTATTAATGCTATGGCTAATCGGTGTACTTGGTCGGTTTTACTATACACTAATGAAAGCTTTCAAAACACATTTCAGTTCCACTTCTGGAACACGGATCAATGTACACGCAGGGTGCGATGAGGTAGGACTTGACCAAATATCCTATTTATGGAGGAAAAATCCTTTCAAAATAACACTGACACATCATAAAGATGTTGCTGTCTTTTAACAGGGTTACATGTTATTTAATTTGTAAAAAGGTTTTTAAGTGCTCAATTTGACTACAAATATTGTTGGATAAAAAAAATGGAGACGTAAAAAAAGCTCTGCCACAAATCAGCGATATGAACTTACAAACGGTTTACACTGTTTTTTTTTAATACAACTTAAATTTCCCCTAGTAGCCATTAGGTGGCAGTAATAGCACACCGCGACAGATCTACAAATACTGCATCACACTGAATTATGTAAAAATGTCTTTATTAGTATTAATGTATACAAAGTCAGAAAATAAATCTTAACATTGACCAAGCATTGTCTAACTGTGCGTGGTTATGATTTGCATAAGTTGATCTGAAATCAAGTGAAATTGCTTACACAATAGCTTACAATGTGAAGATATTTTCATTCCACAATAACTGGTTACTACTATCCCTGTTCCAAGCTCCTTACTCTAACCACAAGAACCGATACAGAGATACTCTAGCATGAAAGCATTTCAAGTCACATGTAACAAAACCGTATTAAAAAATACCTCCGTTTTTTAAACACAATGAAAGGCAGCGACAACTGCTGCAAAATCAATACAAACAACCTCCACACTCCTGCAAAACAAAAAACAAACACCTGTATCACTTTCATTTTCCATTGAAACATTCCATTGAAAAATACAATTTCCATTTGTTTGCTCATTGTATTTGTTTTCTAATGTGCAATATGAAATTATGCTATAACAACAACCCTAAAGTCAGTTGACTGAAACAAGGTTTACGGTTTCAGTTAAACCTAAATATGTTAGCTTGGATATGCCCAACAGTATGTATAGTGTTTTCCAACATTCAGCTCAGGAAATATTTAGGTCTCATTTTAAATTTGAGCCCCTACTGGCTTACTGCAGTGTATACAAAACATTTTGCATTATAAATTTCATGAACTGCTGCTAAATTTGAAGCTGTCGACCCGCTTATGATTCAGCCCATTTGATCGCATTTGAGTCCATACAGTGATTTCCATCTCGAGTCTTGGTAATGTGTATGCTGGTATATTACTTAAGCTTATAGTTGAGACTTTTACAATACTCCGTTAACTAAATAATACATTAACATCCGGCAGTTTCGTTTGTTTTTAAAACTTGGAAAGAATAAATGCTCTGGTTCAATTTAAGACCCCGTGGAAAAATTAAAATTCGCAAACTAAACATACTTTCATTCTCCCATATATATTGTTTGCTATGAACCAATTCATAAGAAGCTTCTCACCTAGACAACAGCTCTACCGTATCTCTGGATTTCATAAAATGGTGCATTCTAGCAGACCCACTATTCTCTTTCATCTCCCAAAGATTTCCTGAGCGTTCATCAACAGGCTGATCAGCTCACCTAAAAGGAAATCGCACGTGGCCTCCTACACAATACAACAAAAAGAAAATCACTAAAATTCACTGTTTTTTAATAAACATGTTTCTGAAACTGTCATACCATGTGCCAATGTAGATGGTTTGCAGTAAATAGTTTTAACATTTGTCTATTGACATCTATCAAATATCTTTCTGACGATGTTTCAAAAAAATCATTTCATAGGCATTAGGAACATGCTTGTGACTAGAACAGAAGACCATTATTACTGTATCATTTCTTGTTCCTGAACTGGAAAACGCTGGGCTTTAAGAAATTACAAAATGAAGACAAATGTGTCTAAACCTAAGTACTCGACGGTCTATGCTTTTCAAATGATCCTGATATCTAACGAACGATGATACTTGGTGCCAAGACAAAGTGAACGAAATGACACTCGGATCCACCATACTGCACTGGATTTGAGAACTGGTCCAGGGCCTGCTGGTAGGACGAGGGCCAGTCTATCCCATCCCCCACCTCCAAACATGAGGCAGTGTCCCTCCTTAGCTCAGACGGCACTGATCTCTGCTTACGGTGGGAGAGATGTGGCAGGATGTGGACTGAGGCTCACTAAGTGCCTTACTGGAGTGATTTCCTGTCAGTGTGCTGAAAGCCTGTAGGCTTTTACATCCAGTATGGGAGGCTGGCTGACCATTGAATGAAAAAAGAAAAAGGAAAAAAAAAAATAAAAAACCCCACAACATCTTGCAGCCAAATCCTAGTTGCTGAAGTACAGGCGTCCACTTGTTCAGGTCAAGGCCGAGACACACCCTTTCTTCTGGCCAATTGGATCAGGTGGGCGGGTCAAAAGGGCACTCAATAATACTGTAGGAATCAAAGACACCAAGATTAAGCTTTAGAAACCCGACTCAATGTTCAACACCCAACTCTCCATCCCGATACTGAGCCATGTAACTCATGGAAACCAGGCGGCACATTAATACAAGCGATTTCTTTACCTTCAGGGTCACAGGGCCCTGGAGCTCCCCCAAGGACGGGATCCCTGTCGGTGAGGAGCTTGTTACGATAGTGGGGGGTGGGCCCCCCTTCAGGAGGCTCATGATCCTGTATGCAGCCCTGTACCAACCACAGTGATGTCAGAAACTCCACACCAGTTCCAGCAGTAATATGAACGCCAGACAAGTATTTGCGTAAAGGTTTCATGCCTTAACCCAGTCCTCGGTGGAACCCCCAGACAGTCCACATTTTTGCTCCCTCCCAGTTCCCTACTAGGAACAGAGAGGATGCAAAAATGTGGACGGACTGGCAGGGAGCAAAAACATGGACCATCTGTGGGTCCCCGAGGAACAAGGTTGGGAAACTCTGCCTTATTAAAACCGAGAGCTGACACTCACCCATTCCCTCATGTTGGTCACCAGAAGCTCCTCCTCAGACATAGTGTGCTTTTGCCTCTTGTCCTGCATGATGTCCTGCAGGGGTGCGTCTCCATCCTCTTCCAGAACCCTGCCCAGCGTAGAGAGACAGGCACTATTTAGAAACGCTTTTGTACACATAACCACACACCCTGAAAATAACCCAATGCCAGTGAGCCAGTCAAACTCCCGCAGCTCAATGCTCTTCATCTTATTTAAAACCTACATCTAAAAACATCTGGTGTTTGTAATGCTCAACATCTCAAGCGAAAGTCTTATTTACACTTATTTATTTATGCATTTTGCGAAACAATGCGCGTTCTGTTTGAGAAAAAACTTTATGTGCAGGAATACCTGGGAATAGTTTACCAGTGTTATCGTTCTGTAGTCGTTCTAATCATTCTAAACACATTGAAAGTACTTAATGTTATTATTTTGAAAACAAGCAATTAATTTCAAAATAAAGTGAAATTAATGTCTTACAGTATCTCTGAAAAGCATAAGTAAACATGAGTGTTTCACACTCCATAACATTTCCAAGAATTGATTTTTAGTGGGAAAAGAACTTGTATCCGATTAGCTATATACACTAAGCTTGAGTGATGCCACCACATCTTCTGTAATCGACTATAACAGGCAAGTAACCCAGTGTCTGTGTCTGACAGTGACTGACCGGCGATTAATGCCGTTGTCGGGGAAGTACACTTTGCACTCCGACAGCTCTTCATCGCTGCCCTGGTCTGGTTTGATCTGGTCTAATCAGGTCTGGTTTTCCAAAGGCTGGTTCACACATACTGCAGATGCGGCTCTTGTGACATTTCATCACAGGTGCGGAGGCCTCATTTGATTGTAACACTACTTTCTACTCTAACCTATCTGATCACAATGAAAAAATATGAGTAGGGGATGTGAGGTAAGATTGGCTGAGGAAGTCCAAAAATACCGGCATTTGTAAGACTGAACCAGCCGGCTACACACAAAGCTGCAGAAGGATTCACGGTGCGGCATTCATGTCAGCCTTGCAGTCTACCTTAGCAACAGTTACTTTTAAAACATGGCTATTAATTTAACTGATTGTACACATCTACCAGCATATTTGAAGTTTCTGTTAAATTTATTTAAATCACTTTAGACCCCTGGTTCTCACACCATAGCATACGTAGCACTAATTGCACGTGGGGTGCCCTCTAGTGGTATGCGAAGGTATCAATCTACCTAACGGTCATAGTTATTTAATCTCAAGGGAAGAAGTAGATATTTAAAGCATTAGCTTAGGAGTACATTTTGTTCAGATCTACTGTTCTTCTCCTGTAATGAATGGTAATTTTAGTAATTAGCTACTGTGACAGAAATGGAAACAGCTAGGGAACAAGCAGTCATACATCTGATACAAAACAACAGTCTTGGATTTCCAAGACAGACTCACTTGGCCCAGGTTCCATAAAAATTCATTTTGCAGCTCTCATACTACTAAACTAACTTTAGAAGCTGTCACGGGCATCCTGTGTCAGAATATTTACCCCACAGGCATGAATTTTGCTACAAGTTTACAAGTCACAGATTAGAATAAAGTAGAGAATATAATGGTGAATAGTGATACTTCATTAATCCCTTTGGGGAAATTCTTTTTTCATTTTATCCCATCTTGCTCCCCATGAGTAACAGAGACGCTTGGGAGTCACAGCGAAGGCACAGCTACTCAGTGGGTGTTGGAGGTTAAGGGCCATTTTGTCATAAGGCCCACTGACATGTGGCTGTTCTGCTAGGGCTGGACCTCAATGGGTTACCTTCCCATCACAGAGCCACACGCCGGCCGTGTGATATTAATCGACTGCAGTCCAAAGGTCAAAAACCAACTGCTTTTTCGTGCCAAGCTGCAGACATTAATAATATGCTCTGCTTGCTATCTTATAGTTGCAAGTCTTGGAAAATGTGTGGCTTCAAGGGTTATATATGATTCAAATGATTCAATTTTCACTTTTTCTTGCTTGCAAGTGAATTTGCTATGATAACCATATCTATAAAATCCTGACCAATAATCCACAAAGTGCAAAACGTAAGGACCTGAAGCGAACCACGGAGAGTTCTGGGTCAGACTTACCGCTTCCTCGTCACCGGGACTGGAGATTCTGGTGAGCTGAGGTTGGCATCTGGGAGCTGGGTCAGGAAGGTGAGCTGGAAATCGTCGTCCATGGAGATGTACGGTGCCAACATGTCGAGATCCATACCCTCCATGTCCTTGAAGATTATGGGATAATAAACCGTTAGCATCTAGCATTGAGTAGTTGTTTGTAGTTAGGAGAGCATAGTGGTCAAGCTCTGCCAGGAACTGCTCCATCAGTGAGGGGTACCTCAAACTGGCTGTCGTGGTCGGTACTGTCCTCTGATCTAACAGTGAAGAACTTCTCCACCGTGTCTTTGTCCATCAGCAATTCATCGGAGGAACTCTGAAATGTTCGTAAAGACATTTCAGGTGAGTGAGACTGATAGTGACGCAGAAGAAACGAGAAATGAGTGGAAGTTGGGTCGGAAAGAGCAGAGATGAGGATCTACGCAAGTTCTCTCACCGTGGCTGGTGAGGTAGTGGCTTCTGGCCTGTCGAAAATGGGAGAGAGGAGCATGCGGAGCTCAGGGGTGCACAGGTCGCGGGGGAACTCTGGAACAGTGTTTGGACAGGAAGGCTGGCAGAACGACAAGTCTTTTACTTCCACAAGCACTGCAAACAAAAACAAAAAAATACACAAGGTACCAAAACAGTGTTAGACACACTAAAGCAAAGCACTAAGATCAGATTTCAGGTACATGTGGGGATGTTTCTCACCTTTCACATCAACAGCATCGTCTGCTGGCGACTGGAACTCTTTCTTCGTTTCGTGGATGTCATCACAGGCCTCTGCGACTAATATTTCCTCTGCATCCGACCCCGTTTTGGATTTTACGAGGCATGGGCCTTGCTCCACGGACAAGACCATATCTGCTTCCTCGATCCCGCTGGAAGAGACAGGAAACCACAGCATGCACATGCCTTAAAATCTTTTGGAAAGAATAAACATGAGCTGGCAGAATAGAAAATGAGCCGAGAAGGAATGGGTCAGGAATGGAGCAGATGGACTTGGCAGAGAGGGAGGAGCAATTTTCTGAAGCAGTACCTGAGAATGAAGTTGAGACAGACGACAGCCTCGGGCTGCGAGGTCTTGCTGTTGTAGATGACGGTGGCTTGGGTCTCGGCCCACACGAAGCCCCCACTCTTAGCCAGGAAGCGGTAGTGACTGGTACACACCTGGCCTTTTGAGAGCACTGTGGGCGACAGATGAAGGCCAACCACATCACCCTCAATGACATCATGCAATGACACATCACGCTTGTCCGCTCCTGCTGTAGACGGCACAGCCCCCGATTAGCACGCCTCTAGGAAAAGGTCCAAGGTTATGTACTCCAGAAGCCAATTTCTCCACTGGATACAGCCAAGCAGTTGAAGGATATTACTCTACGACAGGAGTCTCCAACTCTGGTCCTGGAGAGTTACTATCCAGTAGGTTTTCTGTCCCACTTGGCTTCTGATGAGACACACCTGTTCCTGGTATTTACCTGAGAACAGGCGTGGCTCATCAGAAGTCAGGTAGGATAGAAAACCTACTGGATGGTAGCTCTCCAGGACCAGAGTTGGAGACCCCTGCTCTAAGATATAATGCAAACAGAGCAACCTGACTGAAAACAGGCAGTGATTACCTGTTGTTGTTGTTGTTAAGAATTTCACAGTGTCCTAATGAAACATATACATGTTTTATACCATTACATGTTTTATACGTGTTGTTTTTGTTGTAAATATTGCATGTGTGTGCTGGATCTAATTTCATTATGTGTGGTACATAATAGTACAATGGCTTTTGACCTCTAGCGTTGGGGGTTCGGGTTTCCCCTTGCATGCAGTAATCTCGCATCATAGGTCATACTCACGGATATGCAAGCTCTTGGTCACGTGATCAGAGTCCAAGGCATGATGAAACTCGTAGGCCGATCGGCCAATGAGATCGTCGGGCTGGTATCCCACAAGCTCAGTCACCCTGAGAACAGAACAAACGCAGAGAACGTGAGAAGTCAGTGAACCATATACAGCTACAGAAAAAAGGGGACACAGCCAAGAGCAACAACAGAAGCCTGAGAATGAACAGGCCTGAGAATGAACACTCTTGTTTGGCCTTAAAAATGTTCGAGTTAAAAATGTAAGCCCCCCCCTCGTCCACTGATGCCTCAAAGTCACGCAAGAGAACGTTTCCCAAACCATGTAAACAACAAACTGCACGTAACAGCCAGAGCCCTGGTTTCCATTGTTCCCATTGCATATGACATAAAATCTTTCCCGAGCTTGATGCACTTCAAACACATTTGCATGCATCCTAACAGAGCATTTACACGAACGGAAGGAACGCCGCGTTCCACATAATGCTGCTTAACGTCTATCGCCACTGTGAGGGAGTAATCTCGTTATCCAGATCCCGAACGTGAGGCCCGTCTGGCAGCTCCCTCCCTTCGGGGGTTAGGCGGATCAGACAGAATGTTCTCTTTCCCTTCAAACTCCTCCCCTCACATTCCAGGCAAACTGCCAGCAACGAAGCACCGAGCTCACCACACACCTACAACCGTAAAGCTCTCATCCACAACATACAGCTTGCGGCCAGCAAGCGAGCGCCCACACCCAGACGCCGCCGTAACCTGTACGCGGGTGCCAAACCGCACGGTAGGAAAAGCACGGGGCAGACTGCCAAAGACTGCTGCTGTAACAGTACATTCAAAGTTCTCCACAGAAAGGTCATTTTGGTTACAAATTACACAGGGCTCAGTGCACACAGTCACCCCAACGACCTGTTACACGTGATCTCCAGAAGTCATGTGTACGTGCATGCCCCAAATCCAAAAATATCTCGTTAACCATTCACACTGGCAAAAAAAAAAAAAAAAAAACACGCACTATTAAACAATATGCTTGATCCAGCTAACAGAAGTACGGGAGAAGAATATTAATTTCACCAAGTCTTGCACATTAGGTCTAATTTTTATACTGTAAACAAGAAAGACTTAGAAACTATTATAAACCAGGGGTGTCAAACTCCAGTCCTGGGGGGCCGGAGCCCTGTGTAGCTTAGTTCTTTCCCTGTTGTACCACAAATAATTCAGCTCAAGAACTGTTTGGTAATTAGCACAAGGTGAAGATGAATCAGGTGTATTAAATAAGGGGAAACCCAAAAATGTGCAGGGCTCCGGCCCCCCAGGACTGGAGTGTGACACCCCTGTTATAAACTATAACTATATGAAGGATCCTGTTCTTTCAGTTTCTGCCCCTGTACCGTTTTCTTCTCACCTTAACGACAAACCTGCCTTTCATTTTGACAGCCTGTTCTCTGTAGGTAAATGAAAAGCAGCCACTTGTCACGTCTCATTCTCACCTGCCCTCGCAGTGAGTGAAACGCAGATCCATGGTGTGACGGGTTAGGAAGGTGCTGCAGTCCAACGGAAACTCCACACTGGAGGGGTGAGGGATCGGCTCGCACAGCAGTGTCAGGAAGCTACCAGCAGAGGCCGCCACCTTCTCTTCCGTGTGGTAAGTCAACATGCGGCCTGTGCAGTGCAGCACCTGGGGACAAGGAGGGACATAAAGTGTATTTCAAAATTATATTGAATAGGATTATTGTATTGAGAAACAACTCAACATTCATGAGTGGCATGTTTACACAGATTCTCAATCCTATGCTGAACTTTAGCAAGTAGGGGAAAGAAGGAAGTTAACTAGGTGAGCGAGTCTAAAGTCAACAGACATGCCACTGAAAATTACACAAGTAAAATCAAAGGGCACACAGCAAACTGAGCGAGGCACTGCCTTCGCCCGATGAATAAGAGCAGCGTCAGTGTGGCCCCCTCACTTAAAATACTATTTAAATTTAATTAGCACAACGCAGAAACCGATATCAAAACAGAAAGAGTGAATTCTATTATTAGAAGGACAGAGAGAAAGACAGGTAACTTATTGACTTTGTTAATATTTTTGATACTACTATCACAGAATTTATGTGCATCTTCTGAACATCTGTATTTTGGACTGAAGGGGAGTGGATGAAATAACCAAGGGCCACAAACCTTCCAGGAGGCAGATTTGAGGTTCACGGTCCTGCCCCTGCTAGCGAGGGTGCTCTTCATCCTTACGAAGAAGTCGCGTCTCGTCCACCTCTCTGACTGATTCTTCTTGGATGGTCCTGGGACAGCAGAGAGATTGTCGCACTTATTATGCAGAGCAGTCAAACTAATCCAATCTCACACGTCTCATCGTGCCGCTTATTCTGCATGCAAGTGTGCAGGTGTCACCTCACCTGGTCTCCTTGGGGTCAGGATGTCCCGGAGCTCCTCGTGGTCACAGGGATGGACAAAATCATACAGACTTTGACCCAGCAGCTCCAGCTGTAAAATTTGGAAAAGTTCAGTATTTTTATACTTAAGGGGCCGGTTTCCCGAACTAGGATTAAGACTAGTCTTGGACTAAATTGCCGTTTCAATGGAGATTCACCATTGTAACTCAAAGCTAGTCTAGGTTTAGGCTTAATCCTTGACTGGGAAACTGGCCAAAGAAGTATGCCTACATTTTCTTAGGCATTTTTTGGGCATTTCCTAACACATGTCAATCACTATTCATTCTCTGTTCACACTCCTTTGTTCCCACACATCTGCCTTTTCAGAAGTGCCACATTCGCAAAATTGTTTGCTTATGTCCGCCTTCCTGGCGGCTGATGGAGTTGTGTGGCTGGCTCACATAAAGCTTAACAGTAAGACAAGAACAAAATGTACCAGACTTTGTGTACATTTCCGCTATAACAACAAATACTGTATTTGGGTTTCTTGCAAAAACTCACTGCAGAAAAAAAAGCTGTTGTGTATATAAACAGATTAGGGTTAAGGTATTTCCACTGCTCGGATCTCCATTCCAAATTGCTCAAAACCTTCAATCTCCAGTTAACCCTTCAAAGCTCACTTTCTCTTAGTATCCTACTAAAAGAAAATGTTACACTACAATTGTTACCATAAGTTATCATTTTATATACAGGTTGGATAGTTTTGCAAGATTCTGGGTTTAATTTCCAAATATATTTTTTTCTTTTTTCTGTAATAATGCAGGTTAACCCCCCGCCCCCTGCCCCTAAAAAAAAAAAAACTTTTGCCAAACTCACCCCAGGACTAATACTATCTCTAAAGCGTGACCTGGTTCTGGAGTTTTATTTCATGCAGCCTCAAAATTGAATATCTTTGTTCTTCTTAAGAATATTCAGTTTATGTTTACAGCATGCTTTGGTAAACAGTGTCTGCCATAACTATTATTATCACTGTCAGAAAACATTTTTAAAGGGTACAGCTCAGCTGTGATTATACCAGCATGAGGGTACAGCTCAGCTGTGATTATACCAGCATGAGGGTATACATCCCACAGGGTTAGTAGTCTCCTCAGAAGAAAGTTCTACAAAAAGCCTGTCTCACAATGATGTCATACCTGCGCGATGCCAATGTACTTGCTGACGCTCTCCGACAGGAAGATCATGTCTCCCTCTTCCGTCAGCACCATGACGAACCCGGCCAGGGCACGGGGATAGAGTCTGTCGGTCACATTCTCCTCTTCTTCCTCCATCGCCTCATCCTCTTCCTTCTTCACCCTTGTCTCCAGGCCTGCTGCGCAAGCGGAGGCAGTCAGTGAGCTGGTAGGCTCTCACTCCATCAGCACTCACGAGTACCGAGTACTCCATCAGCCCTCATGAGTACCGAGTACTCCATCAGCACTCATGAGTACCGAGTACTCCATCAGCACTCACGAGTACCGAGTACTCCATCAGCACTCACGAGTACCGAGTACTTCAAGCACTGGTCGGCACCCACCTGAGCTGAGGAGGTGGTGAAGACGCAGGTAGCTGAGCGTCACCCTCATGATGGCGGCCTTGTCCAGATGGGAAGCGACACGGCGTGGGAGGGGGAGTGCGTGCGCCAGCTGATAAAACACCTCAGTCTCTTGGCTGCGTCGGGAGCGCGCCGCATCGCGAGAGCGCACCTTCTTCAGCTCCAAGTTCGGCCTGCCAGAGGGACAGAGGCACAACATGATTACGCTGCCCCAGCAGATCCTACAATGACAATAACCACCATAAAAACTGCACCGAAAGCCCGATCATTTCAAGACTGAAACTGATATTTCGAACAAGCTTCAAAAGTTACACCTCACTGAGTCTCGGTCACTGCAAAATACTCCACAGATCTCATCCGCAAATCTGTTTAAAGGAAAACTCACAAGGACCGCTGAGAGAAGGCCAACCACCTCATTCTTGTTTCCGTTTCGGCAGGGGAAAAAAGATCCCTAGTCCTTTCCGCTTTTATTTCTCCCGACGGCAAATATAGGCCAGTTTTCCTTCCTCCGCCCCAGAATCCCCCCCACCCGCCCACCCCCACTTTTGCATCAGCTGCCCCCCTGTGACACAGGCAGGCTCTATTACACTGTTTATGACATCTGACACCCGCACCCCCCACCCTTCGTCCTCCTCCCATCCCCCTCTTTCCCAACTCGTTCCCCGTCTCCCACTGGAACTAATTTGAGACAAAAGCGTTCCCCTCGTTTTACAACGAACCCTCCACTCCAAACCCAGGCTGCTCTTTCAGCCCTTTTCAGTGTCAGTACCTTTAGTCACAACCAAATAAGTCACCAAGTCATTAAATAGTACAAGCTGAGCTGGCGAAAACGGTGCGCCGGAGAATCCGGACACACTCGAAGTGCAGGCTTTGCCTCAGCATGCTTTGAGAGAACGGTGCAAATGGAAGGCTATTCATCCGGGCCAGGGTGGGGTCCCCTTGTATTGCTTGCATAAGAGTCGGACAACATTTAGACCTGCCATATCTACCGTCCGATAAGAGAGACTGTGCAATAAAAGTTACCAAAGTTAAGGCTGATTGTGAGGCAGCCAAAGCAATATACTGACTAGAAAAAAGTGTGGAGGTGTTAGGGAGTTATAGCTAATTTTTTGAAGAATGCATGTAAAAATATCACTGTGGTGAGGTGAGGTGGGGGTCAAAGTTGCAATATCTGTGTTGCAAAACTTGTTGAACAACAGTAATCGTCTACGTGTTTTTTTTATGCACAAATAGTTTTTTCTAATTTGTCCAAACAGGTCCCTACCCCAAGGTCTTTGTAACGCTGAAATTCACAGCTTCCCCCCCCCCCCCATTCACCTCTGCGGCAGGAAGCAAGACAACAAGTCTGCCATTTCTTCTCGCTTATCTTTGCCAGGGGAGTTTTGGGGGGTGGGGGGGGTACATAACTAAGGTCTCCGCAACTAAAGTCCAGAGTATGCTGGCTGCACTGCTCCCTAGAATCTTAATGATTCTTTATCTTTGGTCACTCATGCCGGAATGCAATGTGTAGAAATGGTTTTGTAAATCATGCAAAACTCATAAGGAATGCTGCACACTCACATCCCTATAGCCTCTTAACTTAGGAGAGATCTCAGGGTGAAAATAATGCCCTGTACTTTACATCTGAGTTCTGAAGCATCTTCGCCTTCCGCAGAGAATGACACACTGAAAGGTTAAGCGCTACGGTACATATAATTTGACACCATGCATATACAAAAAGTACGGGCCAAGCCAGTGACCCATAACCCTATGACACATGCACACACATACCAGCCCTTCTTACTTGGCTACAATCCAAATGACTCAGACCATATGGTTGTGAGAATTAAAAAGTAGAAAAAAAAATTAAAACCAGACAGATCCAGATGTAGCGGTTCAGAGTGGCCAGAGGGACAAGAGGAAAGATCGTGCATGGGAAAGGCAGCCAACAACCCCCTTTTCAGGCAGAGAGAACAGTTACACAAAGACACTGGCAGAGAGCGGGAAAAAAAACAAGTCGACACTCAAGCCTCCAGCTGGGCTCAAAATTATTTTATTTCACCAATCTAAGCTTTAAGAACAACTGTTTACTAATATTTTGAATGCTCTCCAAAGATATAGCTATGTTACCATTGAGGGAGTTGCTAATTTAAACTAAGGGCATCTGGTACAGGAACATGACTTAATGGGAACACTCTGTCCACTAGCGGCGTGCCGAAAAGCACTGCTGGCAGACGACAGCATACTAATCGCGGCTACTCCCCACTTGGAAGCGAGCCACAGAGCTGACTGCACCATGCAGGACTTGGCCCACTGACGGAGGTGGGTCATGGAGTGTAATTACACACAATGCCCCAAAGCATTTCAGGTATTCGTAGTCCTCTGGGCGCTGGTTGGTGGGGTGGGGGTGCATTTTTGCTCCTCACCAAAACAGCGCTGGAAGCTGATCCAGCAGTCTGTGCTGGAGTCGTTGCCCGTCCCCCCCCCACCGGATTGTGACGTCAATGGCCGTTTGCAACAATAACAAGTTTGAGGAACCAATGGTTTCGAAAAAAACCCGGCCTGCAACAGGCTTCCAGTTCTCCCCTCGTTGAGAACACAGTGTACCTACAGCAGCATGCGAGGCCTATACATATCCATGCATCTAGAACAAACACACGTTCTATTTTCGGCAAGGCAGTAATATTTGTTACACGAAAGCAATTTTAGTAAGTTCCTTATTTAAAACCCACTAAACACAGCCACAATACGAAATACATATAAAACAATGTGGGGAAAAAATAAAAACGGGGCATATTCTCCACAGTACCGAGCCCCTGTATCTCAGAATAACTAGCACACAGGAAGCAGTATTGTGGTTCTATAATCGGATTCGTAATCAAAGGTACAAACCCTGGGGTGTATGCCACTAACGAAGACAGCATGCAAGTTTTCAGTTAATAAATATCCAGTTAAGTGTGAAACTATGCAAATCACTCTGGATAAATAGGTTCGTCACACAATTGTGAAAGATAAACTATTTAAGCTGCAGACAGCCAGGCCTCGAGTGGCGAGGGTTCCGCGGCCAAATGGTCAACAGACTTCTGCTGCCCAGTAACCCGAAGCAGCTCATATATAGTAGAATAATATCAATTAAAAAGAAACCCGGGTTGCAACTCATTCAGGCAAAGTAAACGGATGTGGCAAAGCGGATACCTTTGATGAAATAAATCATTTTAAAAGACTCGACCGTATTGTAATGCACCCAGTTTCACGCTTTAGAACGTTATTCAGAATATTTCTGGCAAAAAAGAAAAACAAGTGCAGTTTGTCCCCCGTCAAGAACAACACATGTCCACCGTTGTCATAAAGGGACTGTCTGTTGAACAACATCCTGCAACGATCAACATCTCCATATTTTTGCTATTTGCTCAGATCGAAAAAAATAGGTTCTTAAAAGATAATTAAAAAAAGCGAACACGTGCCTGACTGTTCTGCCATTATAATCATTCATTTACCTAATTAAATCTTTAATACAAATACCGATAGCTATAGTCAAAATGCATATAACCAGACCATATCACGTCTAGACACATGCCGAAAGAACAACCATTTTATTTTTCGTTGTTACACCGAAAAAAACTTAGACATTCTGCGGCATATTTCAGATATGGTTCACTGGTGGCTACAGAAAATAACTTCATGTAGGTGAACAATTTGTACTACTTCTAAACAAATGCATTAAAAACACAATTACCACGCAACTAACGATAATTCGGCATATAATTTACCACATTTTGACACTATGTTTATTATCAACTGAAAACTGCAAAATGTAACATTTGTAACGTCGTTACGGAAATTGCGACAACCCCAACGATTTTGCATCTTTGACAAAAAAACTTTTTTTTTTTTTACACATCGAGCAACACAATCTAATGCAAACTCCGTCATAATTTGAGATCAATCGGCACTACTGTGCAGTCCTTCGAGACAAACATGTAACGAATGAGACAATAACACTGTACTAATACAACCACCACTGTTACGCAACATAATGTTGAATAAATAGTCGCACTGTACAGTATATGAATATTACGGTAATAACCCGCATATTTTACCTTTTCCTATCCGTTTCCATTTGCGTTCCGCTGGAAGTACTCGAACACGTTTCTTCTTGCAGGACAGATTGTTATTGTTTAGGATGGCCGCATCCCAAATGCCAGCGCCTGCGTGCATAGTGCGCATGCTCACAAAACGCCCCAATTACCGGAGGGTTTCCGATCAAAGAAATCACATGTTACATAGAATGGCAACCCTCGAACGAGAGGACCCCCTAACTGAAGAAAAATACGTTATTATTATTTTTTTATTAAGAAACTTGATATTATTTTTTTTCTGTTGATCATAAAGGCAAATGTTGTTCTAGTTTTATGTATCTCACAAGTGCATTATAACTTCAGTTTCAATCTTTTGCAGTACAGGACATCGTGTGCCACGTTTCTCCAGCACGACTGTACGTCCGCTGCATGAAAAATCATCAGCTCTAAACCACTCGTAACTAAGCAGGAGAAGTACCCCTGGAGAAATTGTTACGATTAAAATAGCCTTTCCCGTGGACTCTGGGTACAAGCACGTGTGGGGAACACAACCTAACAAAGATGTCAGCATGACACAAATAAAAAACAACAGCCGCAGAATCTGAATTCTTTTATCGCCAGAAAGTAAGCGGCTTTTCTGGGTGCACTTAGGCACCATCTTGACGCCTGAGAAGGTGTTCCTCTCTGGAATGTCATTTCTATGAAAATGTCTCATCAGTTTGTTTCGCCTCTAGTCGTTCGGACAAAGCGTCCTAATTCTTGGCGTTATGTAAATTTTCGCTCTGTTGACAGGAGGGTCATATTTCATTTTAAACCATTCTGCTTAAAATCTTAAGTACTGCTATAAACATCACATACACATTTGAATCCAGAAAATAACTTACTACTCATTTTTATAACCCAGCTAGAAATCTATAAGGCTGTTCAGCCATCAGAAATCAGCCGAATTACAACATCCTCAATCATTGCGGTTGTGTTATGAAATATTATTTAGCACTATACAACGTAGAATATAATAATTATGGTATTATTAAAAAACATGCCAAATACCCATGATGTATAATCATTACAATGTAATCATTATAATGTAATCAACACAATGTAATCAAACTACATGAGTATGTATTTGCACCTTATGTTAGCCTAAGAGTTTCTGTTAGTTACTTTTTGTTGGCCCTGAATGTATGAATATCCACCTTTATTAGTGTTATACCTTATCACTAAGTTGAAGGACAAATATATCAACCCTTTAGTTCAGGGGTGGCCAATCTTATCCGCAAAGGGCCGGTGTGTATGTGGGTTTTCGCTTTAACTCCTTAATTAGATTACTAATTAGATGACTGATTGGCTGAAGAGTCCTCACACCTGGGTTTCAACAACTGACCTACAGGTTATCCCAAAAACTTGCATACACACCGGCCCTTTGCGGATAAGATCGGCCACCCCTGCTCTAGTTAGTCAATCTGCAACAGGCTGAATCTGCCAAGGTTTACTACTGAAGGAAGGGATTCTCCTGAGTTCACCAAAAGTCCACGGCTGAGCATTTTTAAAACACCAACTAGAGATGGTCGCGCCACCATTATGTTCGGCCGAGGGACCAAACAGTAAAAGAAATGATGGACAAACTTATCACCCAGGGGTGTGGATCAAGGGAGGAAACAATGATTGAGAATGGTTGAAGGAATGATGATGCTCAAGTGACGAGATATTGTTAAATGATAAGAACTTGTATAAAAAATAGTGTAAAACAGTATTGGACAAACTCCTGCAGGGTGTCAAGGTTTAGCGTTCAGTAGCCATAGGGTGGAAAATGTAAGCCCAGTCCTTAGAAGGGGTTTACATAATGGGCGGCCTGCATACGCTTCATATGCTTTTTTATACGAAGCAAAATGTGGCGCTCCAAGTACGTTTGAGAAAACCCTGAAGAGAAAAGCTTCTTCTGGTAACAATTTTTCGTCTTATCTGTTTTCTGTAACTGAACCAAATAAAAATTGCACAAATCTGGGGTCTGTTCTGGAAATTCAGCGCAGGGCATAAGGCAGGTGACAACTTAGATGAGACAGCAACCATCCATTGCAGGACTCTGGCATGTATGCAGAGAAATACTCACTGAATTACACCAGATAATTATCATTTCATCTTCATGAGTGTGCTTTTGGTTTGTGGCAGGAAGTATTCATGAAAGCAGGCAGGGCGCACAAAATCTGTGCAGTACCCATAAATTGTTACAACCTACCACCACTCTTTGAAAAACTTGGAAACTTTATTGAATATGTAATGCCACAGATCCAACAGGGTGCTTCGAGGAAACCTTAAATGCGAAATGGGCTTGTTGTTTTCCTGATGGCGCTCAGTACACGTACGGCACCAGCTTGTAAGGCACGCGGCGGCAGTACTCTCGCCAGGCTGCACCGTGTTTGCTGCTGCACGCCTTCTCGATCTCAGCGGCCCGGCCCCGCAGCAGGTTGGTGCATTGCAGGGCTGGCAAGTACGGCAAGACGCTAGCAAAGCCTGAAACATACAATAGGTCAGTCTCCCACTCATTTTCAATAAGGCATGAAAAATGAATTTCATTGACTAGGCCTAGGTCTTATTACAGTATCTGATGTGCGACATTTACTAGAAAATTATAGTACTTATGTACATTTTTATACCTGTGTTTGCAACAAATGACTATGTTTAGTTATGGTCAGCTTGGCTAGGCTATGCTAGGGTAGGCTAGGCTAAGTTTGAATAGTGTGGGAATCTGACCAATTTTCATTTATGTAAGTAGCTGACAAATAGTGTATTTGCGTAAGTCGAGGAGTGTCTGTATCTGAATGATGCATTGGAATGAAAATTGAGAAAGTGGAGGCCTTTCCTCAACTGTAATACACGTTGTAGCATGTTGTGGTGTTACGTGGTGCAATGGTGACAAAGACCCGACGCTAAAAATCAGTAGAGTGTCTCACCGCAGGGCAGACACCAGGCCAGGGTCATCAGGATGTCTCCCAAATAGTTTGGGTGGCGCACCCAGCCGAACCAGCTAGACACTAACAGCTTTCTCCCTGAAGGGCTGGACAAGGTCTCAAGGTCTGTGTGATGGAGGCAGGTGTTACGTGACCCGGAGGATGTTCTCACAGAAGTTTGGATAAGATGACAGACATACAATACATACGAGCAAATGCAGGGTCGTTGGGATTTTTACGGAATCCGTCCTTCTGGCTGTTAGATAGGTAATACACAATGAAGCCAATTCCTGTAAGACAACGAAGAATGGGGGATTGATTTGGCTGAGAATGAGGCCCATTTATTTGTTTGAAATAATTGCCTAATGAACAGAAGACATGTATTTTCAGAAGGAAAAAAAAGATTAATCAGGATTAGGAAAAGATAGTGACTTGTTGGAAAGGATTCCTACCAAAGATCAGACAGATCAATGTCACTGCAATGGGGTTGAGGTGAGTAGGCCGATGCAGCAGAAAATAACCAGGAACACTGGAATAAAATGGTATCCATATATATTCTCCCAGAATCATCAGAAATCCAATGCCATCCTCTGTGTATTCTTTCGTAGGCAAAACAGATTCCTATTAAGAACAGAAAATATGATTAATTTGAAAATGAACTTCAAATCCCAAAATCAGCAGCGTGCAATGCCATTTAGATACTCAAATAAAGTAATCAGCTGCATGAATGTGTACAATTCGTCTAGGTAAAAAGTGTCTAGGTAAAAGCGTTGACTAAACAATAATGGCAAAATAAAATATCCTGGCAACAGTTTAAACATGGAGCTAATGAAATGTTTCATTGTCAGTGCATCATGTTCTCATCTTCAAAGACAAGAAAAGATGTTGAAACATTCCTCAATGAATTGTCATGTAACGTTTAAAGTTTAATTTAATGAGCGCTCTGTCCACTATGACGCAGTACACATAAAAACTGCCATAACCCAAAACACAGAACTATGGTGAACTTACCATACTTGCTTGACATAAAGAGCATATAAAACATTTGTTTAAAAATTTTGTTTCGTACATTAAGGCACTGTACAGAAATAGAAACATGGAGAATTTGATATTTTCCGTTTGCTTCATATTTTTTAAACATGGAAGCTGGACAGCGGACAAATATTTTGTTGGTTTTAGTTCAACCCCGTATGAAAGCTACACATGTGACATCCCTGATAAGAGAAACCTGGAGGGTTTATTAGAGTAATAATAAAAAAAATCATCTTGAGACATTAGGCTTTGTTCATTTCTTCATATGTTTTCTGTGTAATGAAGGAGAGGGAGAAGGCAGGGAACACAGAAAAGAGGAATGTGCCCATGAATGAAAAAGGGGCATCACCTCATCGATGAGGAAGTCGAGAATGTAAATCATCTGAAAGATCACGACAAGCAGCAGCGGCGGGGAGGGCCAGCCCCGCTCCTCAATCTCCGTCAGCAGGTAGCAGATGTCCACCAGGGCCTTGCCGGAGAGAAAAATCATTTGCAAGAACGTGTTCAAGCAGAAGACTCCCCAATGTGCTGTTCAGCTGTTGCAGAATGTAAATATCTAAGCTGAGAGCCCTGTGGTCCGTGCTGCGGGTGAAGCCACCTACCCATCCGATGAACCCGATTCTGACCATGACGAACAGCTTCATATCAATCCCACCGATGGATGGGTCTCTCTCTCTTCCCAAAGCAAACGCCTGCAGGAAGTTACCTGGCAGCAGCAGCATCGTAGAGGTCGTAAGAGGGGCTGGCCAGACGTGTGTGCGGGTGTCATGTACACAAAACTAAGGTTCATGGACTTTCTTTGATCACATACCCTTATCGCCATAGTTTACCAGCTGTTGTGGGCGAGCCCTGAAGGAGCGCAAGTACAGAGCGATACTGAGCAGCAGGGACACGGCCGCGCAGGCCATTACCAGCTGTGGGACTTGGCCGCTGATCATCGACGCCCGAAAAATTCCACGCTGCCACAATGCAGCCAGGAGCAGCAGCGTCACAGATAGGGCGTGCAGGCCTGGGACAAATCGTAAAAGTCAGGCTGATGAAAGAATCTGCATGTGCCATATTTACCGTTAAAATCCAATGAAAGTTTTTGAACCCCTCATACGATTACAAAAATTCTACCATAAAATGTATTTCATAAGAGTCATTCCTAAACTGAAATTATGGGGGTTTATATTTTTC